GACCCTAAGCATACTTCCAAAGTTGTGGCAAAATGGCTTAAGGACAACAAAGTCAAGGTATTGGAGTGGACATCACAATGCCCTGACCTCAAGCCTATAGAAAATGTGTGGGCAGAACTGAAAAAGGCGTGTGCGAGCAAGGATGCCTACAAACCTGACTCAGTTACACCAGCTCTGTCAGGAGGAATGGGCCAACATTCACCCAACTTATTGTGGGAAGCTTGGGGAAGGCTATCCGAAACGGTTGACCCAAGTTAAACAATTTAAAGGCAATGCTACCAAATACTAATTGAGTGTATGTAAACTTCTGACCCACTGGGAATGTGATGAAAGAAATACTGTTATTCTGACATTTCACATTCTTAAAATAAAGTGGTGATCCTAACTGACCTAAAACAGGGAATTTCTACTAGGATTAAATGTCAGGAATTGTGAAAAACTGAGTTTAAATGTATTTGGCTAAGGTGTATGTAAACTTCAGACTTCAACTGTACCATTTATTCATAGATTCAACTTAGTCGGTATGTCACCTAACTACACTGTGTAGATATACAGTACTTTCATTATAATTATATGCTGCTAATGCACTGGGCAATCAGTGTCCTTACTATATGCCTATAGGCTATTTTAGTTGTATCTAATTTTCTTTGATCTGCATGTTTCTTTCATACTTGATTTAGTTAATTTTTATTTTTGTATGTTTACAATTTCACTTATTTGATTCCTTTACTATGTCACTTTGATTACTATGTCACTTTTGTTGCCATTTCACTGTGTGAGAAGCCCCTGATGAGATTTTAGTATATGTGACCGACTGCCTTGATTCGGTTTAATGTAGCAAAATTTGAAATTGTGTTTTTTACATTGGATAAAAGCAGCGACACAGAGCTACAAAATGGTATATCATACACTGCATTTGAGGAACAATGGGAAAGTAATTCTGCTTTGAAAGTTGATAACCTTGTAATCTCACTTTTGAGAAAATGGCCTTTGAATATTTTGGTACCTACTGGAGAGCTCTTCTTTGTCTACACCCATTCAGCATCGTTCACACCCTCTTAAGCTTTAGCCCCACCCATCTCATTTAACTCTCGGAGCGTTCAGAGCGCACACTGGACTCTCTGGCCGATGACCTCCCAACGGCAGTCAAGCACCCAAGCTAACTGGCTAGCTTGCTAGCTACTTCCAGACACAAATGAGAGAAACACCCCACTGACCATTTTACTCGACCTAGCAGAGCTGGTTAGGCTGTGTTCATGTTATCCAGAGAGTTGTTGACTGTAACTGTGCTGCTGGTAACAACTTAATTACTATTTTTTGCAGACATTTACTGACACCGGTCATATTCACGGGTGTTGAGCGTTCGTAAATTCATCAGTTATTCTGCGCTCTGGCATACTCAGACTGAATTTACGAACGCACCTGAAATGGTTACTTGAATAGTGGAGTCTTTTAAGACATGTAGCTAGCTAGCTAGCTAGCTAGCAAGGTAAACAATAATCCCAACTCATGACGTTACTACTCTGCATTAATCTGCAGGTAGCTAACCAACCAGGTTCAATGTTAGCTAGCTAACATTAGGCTATAACTAGCAAAGCAAATGGCTCTGAGATATGAATAATATGATCATACACGTAACTTTAGCCTGCGAGCCAGCCATCTAACGTTAGTTAGTTACACTTTAACTTGAAATGAAACCACTTTGTCTTACCCGTATACATCATGGATGGACGCGTCTCCCTCACGGATACCATGGTTGCCCTTAGTTTGAAGATGTAATCCGGAGACAGGTGTTTTCTCCATCTCCTTAGCTATCAAACTCTAATTCCACTTATTTCAAAACTCGGTCCTCCAGAAAGTGGAGCGCAACACTTATGCAGTTTTACTATGCTATAAAACATTTTTAAAGCCTCGTTAGACAGGATTACCTACACATACTGACCAGCTCAAATAGACAGAAGCGTGCCAATCCGAACTCATCTCTCGGCATGTCCAGCCCAATCATTATCTTAGCCAATCATGGCTAGCGGGAAGGTTGCTGTCTTTTTCTGTGGCTAAACCAACTGGGCTCGTAATTTAACAATTTTATTCGTAATTGCAGATTGCATACAAGTTTTATTAAGGCACATGAACGTTCACATGTTCCAGAAGGCATTTCTGGCAAAAAACACATTTTGATAAAAAATTAAAGTTTACGTTCAAATGGCTATCCTGTGACCCGCGACATACGCCTACTTTCCTGAAACGAGTCACATATTTAATAGTATTCCATCATCCAGCACACCAAAATTCTTCCAGACGGTAAACACCATGTTTTGCTCTCGCCCGTAAAAGATTATGCATAAGGTGCACTACAGCCATGTCTATGGGCATGAAATGGCTTTTACATAGCTCAGAGAATCTGACCCCAGTTTCAGTCTCAATTGTTTTCCTCTACTCGGCTTGGTCTTTGCCCGTGTCCACATACTCCCTTGCATTTTGTGAAACACCGGCACAAACTCATAAGTCAATCAAATGCATGGGAATAGAAGGGAGGGCGCAGTGATTGAAAGTCAAATAGTCCAATCCAACAAACAAAACCAGAAGTGAGAGCGTGACAGTTGAAAATGGGCAATCAAATGAACTTGATTTGAAAACTTTGTCATACTTCAAGGCACAACAATTCATTGGGGGCTGTTTTTCTACTTTTTAAAATATAGATTCCTGTAACTAACAATGAACAACTCCCGGAATTTCAACTCGTCGAACCAAGCCATGGAAATGGTTACGGATAACGTTTATAACGGTCCTTCGAGTCCGCAATACTCTACACCCCACGGCCACAACCTTCCGAATACAACTCCACAACAAGGTAAGAAGCAGTCTTATTATTTATCAGCAAAGCAATTTAACCAGCCAGCATAGCTATCTCTGCTAGCTGGCACTGTAGCAGCTGTAACATTAGCAGAGGTAGCTAACTAGTTAAGTTAAATGACTACAGCCAATATAGTAAATAACTAATGTGAGCTGGTTAACAAATGTTGTAGTTAACATGATCATGTTACATTCATTTCAGTTGTAGTACTTAGTAGACAGAATGAGCTATCTGTAAGTTCAATGTTGTCACGGATTCTGCCAAGGCTGCCCCTCCTCCTTGCTCGGGCAGGCTTCGACGTTCGTCGTCACCGGAATACTAGCTACTGCCGATCTATGTTCTATGTTTCTATGTTCTACCTGTTGTATGATTGTTACACACCTGTTTCCCATTATGTGATTACTCCTTCCCTATTTAACCCAGTGGCTCCCAATGTGTTTTGTGCGTGTTTTGTTTTTCGTTTCATGTGTTGTGGGTGAGCGGGTTTGTTCCTCCCTGTGTGGAGGTATCTTGTATTGATTTCTTTACTTATTTAGTAAAGTACGTTTCATAGAGTTCTGTGTCCTGCGTCTGACTTCGATCCACCGCATTACACTGACACTCGTGACAAATGTTTACTTTTACAACTTGGTGGAAGCTAGCTAACATTGAATATTTGAATCCTGTTAATTTGCTAATGATGGTCCAAATATGTTACATAAATAATGGCATCACTGCGGGAAGTAGCGGTGCTGCAGCATCCCCTGATAAAATAACATGTGTTAACTAGGCCTTTATTACGCCTGTATTAGCAGAGAAAAAATATTCCTCAGCTTTTTTAGCTAGTTTATTGAGATTCCAGTGTTGTTTTTTGGGCAGAATAACGTATTGTTTTCTGTAATTTCATAAGCTCGAAATAACTCTCTGCTGAAGAGAAGCAGCCATTTGTGGGAGCAACTGAAGACATAATGTCTGATGTGGAGATCCAGCGCACTTGCAGTAGAAAAATAGCCGTCAGAATGAAAACCGGCGCAACCATCCACGTCCACAGCAGGGTATGGAATTGTTTTAAGATGGTCATACTACGGATCATTTAGCTATTTGATTTAGTATTTTAGGACCCCTTTAGGTATAACATTATTTGATAAAATATTGAATTTGACCTTTACTACTATAGCCCAGAGAAACACATTGAATAACATATTAATAAATGGCAAAAAATACAGTAAAACAATAAATCATAAGAAACAAGGTTTTGAAGTGACTTTCCTATATCTAGGAGATATAAGAAAGCTAAGGAAATATAAAGTTATTTGTGCTGCCATCTTGTTAGAAGGTAACAGATTATTTTATTATAGTGATTAAGAGTGACTTTCATTGTGTTCCATGGTGTTTAGCGCCCCCCTAGTGGAGCTTTCTGGTACTTAGAATAATGTACAAAAACCGGAAGTAAAGTAGTCATTCTGCACGCAGACAAGCAGCTAGAAACAACGCTACTGTACAGTTCTTTCAGTGCAACTATTTCTTGTTACACTTCAGCCTCGGAAAATATTTGTTTGTAAGTTCAATTCAAGCATATTGCAAGTGATGATAATATTGTTATTGACAGAATTGCTTACTTATCAATGTTAGTTGGTTACATTTACTCACGCAAATTGCATTGACTTTCATGGATGCCGTTAGCTGTATTAGTTTGCTCGTGCGTCATGTAAAAGAAGTGTAAAACATACTATAGTTTGTTACTGTTTCTAGTGTAATATGCTTTGTTATTGTACAGAGGTGTTTGTACATTATTAGAGTAATGAAAGGAATTGGCTAGTTGTTACTCATAGAGTAATTATCTATTTGGTTTGTCGTCATGCCAGATATATGGTAACTTGGCACTTGCTTTGTATTTATGCAACTTCAACTTGAAATGTATAATGTACAGCTACAGTATGTCAATGTGAATTGAATACTAAAGTATATTATTTTCTGTATTTGCAGTTTCACAACATAAACGTTTTCAATACATTCGTTCAAGAAAAGTCACGCCTTGGAAGTTTTATTGAATACTCAGTTGTTAGCTATCTGTCTAGTTTTGCACGGGAACGCAATTCCAGGGCAGAATAGTGAAAAAACATCATCACGGCGGGCTCAAGCACAAGAATAATCGCACGTGGTGGTTATGATTCTACGTTCATTAGCCAACAAAGCCTCTGATCCTAGGGATGACCAGCAGTCTACGATGCAGCAACCAGAGGCAAGTGTTCGACAGAAAGAGGAAGAGGAGCGAGTAAGAGAGATGGAGGAGCCTCTTCAGCACATTGAGACCAAGTCTCAGTCTGCAAGATCAAGGTCATCAAAACAGTCAAGCAGATCCTCAACGGCGAGTTGTGCAGCCATCAAAGCACGTGCCAAGGCGGACGCAGCGCGTGCTCGAGTCTCCTATGCTGAAAAGGAAGCTTCTGTGATGAAACAAAAAGCGGAACTGGATGCAAGTTTATATGTTCTCCAAGTTGAGAGAACAGCTGCTGCTGCGTTGGCTGAAGCTGTAGCCTTTGAAGAAGCTGTAGAGTCTGAACGCAGAGAGCTCCACAGAGAACTCAACACAGGGACACAGCCCTTAAGTCCAGTCCAACGTACTTGTGAGTATGTGCAACAACATGCTAGGCCCTACTTTGCTGAAATGCCATTTGAAGTAGAGACACAAGAGCTTAGTGTTGACCCAGCTACAGGCCACAATCCAGAAAGTAGCAAACAACGGAGCATGAGCAGAGACTCTCCGTACAAAAGAAATGAAAAGCAGCATGGTGGAAAGGGAAAACAGACCCACTTCCAGTCACCGACACAAAGCTTCCCTGAGTCACAAGTGGCACCAGAACTCACCAAGTACCTCCTGCGCCGTGAGATGGTGAGTTCCGGACTCCTGAAGTTTGATGATCGTCCTGAAAATTATTGGGCATGGAAAGCATATTTTCTCAATGCGACCAGAGACTTGAATCTATCAGCCAGGGAAGAGTTAGATCTAATTACCAAGTGGCTAGGGGCAGAGTCATCTGAGCAAGCAAAGAGAATTAGATCTGTCTATATTCTCAATGCAACAGCAGGGCTTAACATGGTCTGGCAACGACTAGAAGAGTGCTATGGTACACCCGAAGTGATCGAGAATGCACTGTTGAAGAAAATTGATGAATTTCCAAAACTGTCTAACAAAGACAATCACAAACTAAGAGAACTGGGTGACATTCTTCTCGAACTGGAGTGTGCTAAAGAAGAAGGGTACCTTCCAGGCCTCGCTTATCTGGACACATCTGTTGGGGTAAACCCTATAGTAGAGAAACTTCCATTCAGTTTACAAGAGAAATGGATAGCACAGGGATCCAAATACAAGGAGGACTATCGGGTAGCATTCCCACCATTCTCGTTTTTCTCGAGATTCATCAGGAACCAGGCGAAAATTAGAAACGACCCCAGCTTCACCCTCTACACCTCAACTACCCAGGTGTCTGTGAAAAGTGAGAAACCTGTCAGGTACAGCAGCAAGACACCTTTGACTGTACACAAAACAGATGTGTCATCTGAGCCCTCAGACCACCAAACCAAACGCAGTAAGACAAAGGTTGAAAGCCCTGACCATCACTGTCCAATACATAACAAGCCTCATCCTCTTAAAAAGTGTCGCGGATTTAGATACAAAACTCTAGATGAGCGCAAATCATATCTCAAAGAGAATGGCATTTGTTTCCGATGTTGTGGGTCAACTCAGCACAGAGCTAAAGACTGTAAGGTGTCAATCAAGTGCTCCGAGTGTGACAGCGACAGACATCTTGCTGCTCTGCATCCAGGTCCAGCTCCTTCAACGACAGACACCGCTACAGCAGAGAAAGAGCATGGCGGGGAGCAAGGTGAAGATGCTCTTCTATCAGTCACCTCAAAGTGTACCGAGATCTGTGGTGAGGCAGCCAATCCAAGATCATGTTCAAAAATATGCCTAGTCAAAGCTTATCCAGCTGGGAAAAGAGAGAAAGCTGTCAAAATGTATGCAGTGCTTGATGAACAGAGCAACACATCTCTGGCCAAGACAGAGTTTTTCAATCTCTTCAACATCAATGACAACTCTGCTCCATACACCATGAAGACCTGTTCTGGGGTAACACAGACTTCAGGCAGGAGAGCCGTCAACTTCATGGTGGAGTCTATAGACGGACACAAGCAGCTCACTCTCCCTACTCTGATAGAGTGTGACATGATGCCAGACGATAGAATGGAGATTCCCTCCCCAGACAAAATTCCAGCTGTGGACCCAGACGCTCCCATCCTCCTGCTCTTAGGACGAGACATCTTAAGGGTACACAAGGTACGAGAACAAATCAATGGGCCCCACGACACTCCTTATGCACAGCGACTCGACCTCGGGTGGGTCATCGTGGGTGAAGTTTGTCTGGGAACGGCTCACCGACCAGCCAGTGTTAACGTGTTCAGGACAAACATACTTCAAAATGGTCGCACGTCCTATCTGAGCCCTTGCCCTGACATCATCCAGGTGAAAGAGAACTACAGCAGCGTAGCTCAGCAACACATTTCTCTCTCTACAGGGCACTCGAGAGATCCAAGCACAACTGTGAACACAGACAGCCTGGGATGTTCCGTGTTCAACAAAACACAAGACGATGATAAACCAGCACCATCTGTGGAAGACAAAGCCTTCTTGGACATTATGGACAAACAGGTTTTCCAGGATGATGGAAACAACTAGGTGGCTCCACTACCCTTTCGCCCCACTAGACGTCGTCTTCCTAATAACAGGGAGCAGGCCATGAAGCGTCTCACATCACTTCGTAGGACTTTAGACAAAAAGTCTGACATGAAACTTCAATTTATTGACTTCATGCAAAAGATGCTGGATAACGACCAAGCTGAACATTCTCCGACACTAGAGGGAGACAAAGAACGCTGGTATCTGCCAATATTTGGTGTTTACCATCCACAAAAGCCTGAACAAATAAGAGTGGTGTTTGACTCCAGCGCTGAGTGTCAAGGCGTGTCACTGAACGACGTCCTGCTCAGGGGTCCAGACTTAAACAACACACTCTTGGGCGTCTTAATGTGCTTCCGCAAGGATGGCATTGCACTAACGACAGATGTGCAACAAATGTTTTACTGTTTTGGTGTACGTGAGGATCACAGAGATTACTTAAGGTTTCTCTGGTATGAAGACAACAACCCAGATAGAAACATAACTGAGTACAGGATGAAAGTCCATGTATTTGGGAACAGCCCCTCACCTGCCGTAGCCATCTACTGCATGAGACGAGCAGCTCTACAGGGTGAGAAGGAATATGGGTCAGAACCCAAGCAGTTTGTAGTGAGGAACTTTTATGTCGATGATGGGCTGATATCAGTAGCTACTCCAGAAGAAGCTATCAACATTATGAGAAAAACACAAGCAATGTTAGCGGAGTCCAACATGAAACTACACAAGATTGCATCCAATAGCAAAACAGTTATGGAAGCCTTCCCCATGGAGGACCGTGCCAAGGACTTAAAAGACTTGGAACTCGGAGTAGATCCTCTCCCTTTTCAACGGAGCCTGAGACTTTCCTTGAACCTGGAAACAGACAGCTTCACATTCCAGGTGTCCCACAATGAGAAGCCTTTTACACGGAGAGGCATCCTGTCCACAGTGAATAGTCTTTATGACCCCCTTGGGTTTGTGGCTCCAATAACAATGCAAGGGAAAGCCTTAATCAGAGAACTCTCTTCTGATCAGAGTGAGTGGGATGCCCCCCTTCCCACAGAAAAAGAAGAGGAATGGAAAATGTGGAATGAATCTTTGATGGAGTTGGAACATCTGTATATTCAGCGGCCCTACATCCTAGTCTCCTTGTCTACCACTCAAAGAAGAGAGCTGCACATCTTCTCGGATGCCTCTACAGTAGCCATAGGAGCGGTAGCCTATCTGAGAGTTATTGACTCGGAAGGTCAATGCCATGTTGGATTTGTCATGGGGAAATCTAAATTGGCCCCTCGACTGGCCCACACTATCCCACGCCTAGAACTGTGTGCGGCTGTGCTAGCTGTTGAGATGTATGAACTGATCAGAGACGAAATAGACATTGATGTAAATGCAGCCAAGTTCTACACAGACAGTAAGATAGTTCTCGGTTACATCCACAATGTCACCAAAATATTTTATGTGTATGTTGCCAATAGGGTAACTCGTATCAGGAAGTCTACCCATCCAGACCAGTGGTGTTACGTAAACACTGACAGCAATCCAGCAGACCATGCAACCAGGCCCATACGAGCCGCACTCTTAAAGCACACCAGTTGGTTCTCAGGTCCCCCTTTTCTGGCTCAAGCAAACTCAAGTGAGTCTGAGACCATCAATTTTGACCTTGTAGAGCCTGACGCAGACGCAGAGATTCGGCCAGACGTTACTGCCTTCGTCACTAAGGTTTCTGGAGCTCAATTCGGCTCTCATCGCTTTGAGAGGTTCTCGAACTGGAAAGCTCTCAATCGAGCCACAGCATGACTCATTCATGTTGCCAGATCCTTTCACGAAAGTGCGGACGACAACAACTGCAGAGGCTGGCATCAGTGTAAAAAACCATGCAGTACAAGTGAGTTGTCACAAGCCAAAACAGCAATCATTCACTGTGTGCAACATGAAGCCTTCAAAGAGGAATTCAAATGCCTTGAGAAAGGAAAAGAGTTACCAAAACAAAGTATACTCAAAAAGCTGAACCCAGTGATTGATGAGGATGGGTTGCTGAGGGTGGGAGGCCGATTATCCTCTGCCGACCTGTCACAAGACGAAAAACATCCTCTCATCATCCCACGGACGCATCATGTCGCCACTCTGCTGGTAAGACATTATCACAAGCAAGTGGCTCACCAGGGCCGTCATTTTTCAGATGGAGCTATTCGAGCAGCAGGCTTCTGGATTATTGGGAGCAAACATCTGGTCTCTGGTATCATCCACAAGTGTGTCACCTGCCGTAAGGTTAGAGGAAAGTCAGTTGACCAAAAGATGGCGGACTTACCTGCAGACAGACTCACATCAGAGCCACCATTCACCAGTGTTGGACTTGATGTGTTTGGACCATGGAATGTCATAACTCGTCGCACTAGAGGTGGTAGTGCAGACTCCAAGCGCTGGGCGGTACTCTTTACATGTATGTCTACTAGAGCAGTCCATATTGAGCTCATCGAATCCATGTCCACATCCAGCTTCATCAACGCGCTGAGGTGTTTTTTCTCTATCCGTGGTCCAGCAAAAGTGCTACGCTCTGATCGAGGTACAAACTTTATAGGTGCCTGCAGGGAACTTGGAATCGACACAAATGACTCAGAGTTGACGAAATACCTCTCAGACAAGGGATGTACTTGGATATTTAATCCCCCTCACTCTTCTCATATGGGTGGTTCTTGGGAGAGACTCATTGGGGTTGCCAGACGTATCCTTGATGCTATGCTGTTTCAGACGGGCTCCACTCGTCTCACACATGAGGTCTTGAGCACTCTTATGTCTGAAGTTATGGCAATAATCAATGCGAGACCCCTAGTGTCAGTGTCAACCGATCCTGACATGCCTGCCATTCTTACACCCTCAATGTTACTGACACAAAAGACCAACGCTACCTCAGCCCCTTCTGGATATTTCCACATGAACGATCTTCATGGAAAACAGTGGAAGCAAGTCCAGTGTCTCGCTGACACTTTTTGGAAAAGGTGGAGACAGGAGTACTTGACAACACTGCAGAGACGCAGAAAATGGACAGCAGAAAAGCCAAATGTGAAAGTGGGAGATGTTGTCTTATTGAAAGACAGTCAGACGCACAGAAATGACTGGCCAGTCGGACTTGTGGTCAAAACCTTTCCCAGTACTGACGAAAAGGTCAGGAAAGTAGAACTAAAGGTTGTCAAGCAAGGGATTGCTAAGGTGTTTCTGAGACCAATCTCAGAGATTGTTGTTCTTCTTTCTGAAGCATCCTAGAGGCAAAATATTTTATTTCATAGTGGCACAATTTCATTATACCAGGCGGGGAGTGTGCTGCCATCTTGTTAGAAGGTAACAGATTATTTTATTATAGTGATTAAGAGTGACTTTCATTGTGTTCCATGGTGTTTAGCGCCCCCTAGTGGAGCTTTCTGGTACTTAGAATAATGTACAAAAACCGGAAGTAAAGTAGTCATTCTGCACGCAGACAAGCAGCTAGAAACAACGCTACTGTACAGTTCTTTCAGTGCAACTATTTCTTGTTATGCTTCAGCCTCGGAAAATGTTTGTTTGTAAGTTCAATTCAAGCATATTGCAAGTGATGATAATATTGTTATTGACAGAATTGCTTACTTATCAATGTTAGTTGGTTACATTTACTCACGCAAATTGCATTGACTTTCATGGATGCCGTTAGCTGTATTAGTTTGCTCGTGCGTCATGTAAAAGAAGTGTAAAACATACTATAGTTTGTTACTGTTTCTAGTGTAATATGCTTTGTTATTGTACAGAGGTGTTTGTACATTATTAGAGTAATGAAAGGAGTTGGCTAGTTGTTACTCATAGAGTAATTATCTATTTGGTTTGTCGTCATGCCAGATATATGGTAACTTGGCACTTGCTTTGTATTTATGCAAATTCAACTTGAAATGTATAATGTACAGCTACAGTATGTCAATGTGAATTGAATACTAAAGTATATTATTTTCTGTATTTGCAGTTTCACAACAAACTTTTTCAATACATTCGTTCAAGAAAAGTCACGCCTTGGAAGTTTTATTGAAGACTCAGTTGTTAGCTATCTGTCTAGTTTTGCACAGGAACGCAATTCCAGGGCAGAATATAATTTTTTTACACATATTTAACCCATTTTTTTGGTTAGGCACAAAACGACCTTTATACTTCCATTCATTTTTTTTTTTTACCATTACCGGTTACTTTCAGATGAGTCCCGAGCAAAACAGAGCCCATCGTGTTCGTGAGTGTCTCCCCTTTCCATAGAGTGGTCATAATAGTTTGTAGGTCAAACCGTTCAGATGCTACAGATGTTTTTGTGAGACGTTTTACATCTTTTATAATGTTACTTAGATTGACGGACCGTTGCGTCAATTAACTCCAGGGTGATTAAATTCAGGCTGTAACACAACAAAATGTGGAAAAAGTCAAGGGTGTGTGGATACTTTCTGAAGGCACTGTATGGACTTGTGAGTGTGCATTGAGTCAGTGCAAGATGGGTTCAATGCAGATAGTCCATGTGACCTTTTAATTAACTATTTAGCAGTCTTATGGCTTGGGGGTGGAAGCGGTCTTGGAGCCTATTGGTCCGAGAGCCGATACAAATGATTTATAGCTATGTCGCCCCCCCCCCGCTAGATATGCTAGATATTCCGACAGTGCAGGAATATCTAGCAAGTAATATCTAACTATTTCACAACATTTACCCAATGCACACATCTAAGTAAAGAATGGAATTCAAGAATACAGTGAGGGAAAAAAGTATTTGATCCCCTGCTGATTTTGTCGTTTGCCCATTGACAAAGACATGATCAGTCTATAATTTTAATGGTAGGTTTATTTGAACAGTGAGAGACAGAATAAAAACAACAAAAAATCCAGAAAAACACATGTCAAAAACGTTATAAATTGATTTGCATTTTAATGAGGGAAATAAGTATTTGACCACTCTGCAAAATATGACTTAGTACTTGGTGGCAAAACCCTTGTTGGCAATCACAGAGGTCAGACGTTTCTTGTAGTTGGCCACCAGGTTTGCACACATCTCAGGAGGGATTTTGTTCCACTCCTCTTTTCAGATCTTCTCCAAGTCATTAAGGTTTCGAGGCTGACGTTTGGCAACTCGAACCTTTTAGCTCCCTCCACAGATATTCTATGGGATTAAGGTTTGGAGACTGGCTAGGCCACTCCAGGACCTTAATGTGCTTCTTCTTGAGCCACTCCTTTGTTGCCTTGGCCATGTGTTTTGGGTCATTGTCATGCTGGAATACCCAGTCACGACCCATTTTCAATGCCCTGGCTGAGGGAAGGAGGTTCTCACCCAAGATTTGACGGTACATGGCCATGTCCGTCGTCTCTTTGATGCAGTGAAGTTGGCCTGTCTCCTTAGCAGAAAAACACCCCCAAAGCATAATGTTTCCACCTCCATGTTTGACAGTGGGGATGGTGTTCTTGGGGTCATAGGCAGCATTCTTCCTCCTCCAAACACGGCGAGTTGAGTTGATGCCAAAGAGCTCGATTTTGACCACAACACTTTCACCCAGTTCTCCTCTGAATCATTCAGATGTTTATTGGCAAACTTCAGACGGGCCTGTATACTGTATGTGCTTTCTTGAGCAGGGGGACCTTGCGGCTGCTGCAGGATTTCAGTCCGTCACGGCGTAATGTGTTACCAATTGTTTTCTTGGTGACTATGGTCCCAGCTGCCTTGAGATCATTGACAAGATCCTCCCGTGTAGTTCTGGGCTGATTCCTCACCGTTCTCATGATCATTGCAACTCCACGAGGTGAGATCTTGCATGGATCCCCAGGCCGAGGGAGAATGACAGTTATTTTGTGTTTCTTCCATTTGAGAATAATCGCACCAACTGTTGTCACCTTCTCACCAAGCTGCTTGGCGATGGTCTTGTAGGCCATTCCAGCCTTGTGTAGGTCTACAATCTTGTCCCTGACATCCTTGGAGAGCTCTTTGGTCTTGGCCATGGTGGAGAGTTTGGAATCTGATTCATTGATTGCTTCTGTGGATTGCTTCATTGATTGCTACCCGGACTATTGCCCCCACACCCCACCCACCCCAACCCCCTCTTTTACGCTGCTACTACTCTGTTTATTATTATACATAGTCACTTTAACTCTACCCACATATACATATTACCTCAATTACCTCGACTAAACAGTGCCCCCGCACATTGACTCTGTACCGGTACCCCCTGTATATAGCCTCCTTACTGTTATTTTATTTTACTGCTGCTCTTTAATTATTTACTATTTTTTACTTAAATGTTTTTATTTTTTTCTTAAGAACTGCATTGTTGGTTAAGGGCTTGTAAGTAAGCATTTCACTGTAAGGTCTACACCTGTTGTATTCGGCACATTTGATTTGATTTCAACATGAAATCATGAACAAATGTCACAATGTAATTGGATTTAGATCAATGTTGATACGTTGATAACTTTTTTCAAATCAAATCAATTTTACATTCAACATCATCACATATAACATTTTGGTTGCAATGACGTGGCACACGGTACCGTGATCTCTCTCTCTCTCTCTCTCTCACTCACTCACTCACTCACTCACTCACTCACTCACTCACTCACTCACTCACTCACTCACTCACTCACTCACTCACTCACTCACTCACTCACTCACTCACTCACTCACTCACTCACTCACACACACACACACACACACACACACACACACACACACACACACACACACACACACACACACACACACACACACACACACACTCACACTCACACTCACACTCACACTCACACTCACACTCACACTCACACACACACACACAGCTCTGTCAGGCCCGTTTACGCTGTGATTTTTTTCGGACACGACAGCCATTGACACTGTATAGAGGAGGCTAATCTCGGCCAGAAGTGGACGGCTTTGGTAATGTCACAGGTAGAAAATGTCTCTCAGCTGTTAACCCAGTCACGTGCGTGTGTGCGCGCATACAATGGGTGCCCACTGTAACACACACCCCTATCTGTCCCTTTGTCAGACGGCGTGTGTTCCCTTCTCAGATGCACTGCACGGGTCATTCAGTTAAAATAGGAACGTTATAAGGGCTTAGTTTGACAATTAGCTTACCTAATTTCAACCAAATTGATTTCCTATTATGGAGTGAAGAGTTTAGATTTAATGACGTGCAAGATAGTTTAACATTGATTAGATGACCCTTGGTAGAAACATTTACCTCTCTCTCTCTCTCTCTCTCTCGCCCACACTGATATGGCACCTATTATTCAAGTTGAATCATAGCTTATGCTGTCTCTTCTTTTCATGTTCGTGAAACAATATGCCTTTAGGATATTCTTGAAATAATGAGGTTAGACATACTATTTCGAGTAGGTTAATTCCAAAAACCCTAGTGGCTCTGTGTAGCCACCAAGCGATGTCCATGGTGCAGAAGTGAATGGCTAATGTGAATTCCTGACCCGATGTTATGCTCTCCCGAGTGGCGCAGTGGTCTAAGGCACTGCATCGCTGTGCCACTAGAGATCCTGGTTCGTATCCAGGCTCTGTCGTAGCCGGCCGTGACCGGGAGACCCATAGGGCGGTGCACAATTGGTCCAGGGTAGGGGAGGGAATGGCCAGCAGGGATGTAGCTCAGTTGGTAGAGCATGGCGTTTGCAACGCCAGGGTTGTGGGTTCGATTCCCACGGGGGGCCAGTATGAAACATTTTTTTATAATGTATGCACTCACTAACTGTAAGTCGCTCTGGATAAGAGCGTCTGCTAAATGACAAAAAATATATATATAATGCTCGCAACAGTAAAAATCTTTATTGCGGAATATTTTACTTGTCATCGTGACATTATTCTGCGCATGGGAGGCTATAGGTCATAAGGCGTTCTGATGCTGCCCTTAAATTTAGCTGGATCAGTTTGTCCAGTGTTCCTCTTTGGAGTCGATTGAGTCGTAGCCTAGCCTACATATCTGTGAACACCCGGTACGTCACGTGTTGAACGCGGAACAAAGGAGAGCTTGAAAAGTCTCTGAAGTTTGAAAGTTTCTGAAAAAGTGTTCCATTGAAAACATTTGGTAACTAGCTACCATTTGAATTTGGATCTCGCGATACCGTTATCCTCAGTTGCTGGGACTGCTATATCTGTCCAGGGATTCTGCCAACCAAAAGTTTAAAGAGCTGCTTGGCATAGCAGCTACCCTAGCTGCTAACTAGCTATCAAGCTAGAAACGTTTCCTTGACAGCTTGAACACAGCCCGCGACAAGGTTTGCCCTTGTGGCTGGGACCATTAATTGTCCCAGGCTTGTGGTGGTCTAAATCCCTGCTGTTTGTTTGTTTAAATCTGCCATGCGACGTGCCCTGTCTGGAACTGCGTGGAGTACCAGCGTTAGTCTACGTTGCTACCATGGCATCCAAAGCCAAAGGTGGGAGTCATGGAGAGGACAGTGTTTCTCTGAAGAGGACAGCCATCTTGTCCTTAAGCCTCAGGAACTTGACCACTATTGGCCTGGGTCTGTCACGTAGGCTGATCATATGTTTTCCAGACTTGTGGGCGTGCTCCAGCTCAATCTTCGTATGATCCATCTGCAGCTTTTCAGTGATAATTTTTCATACTTTCTCCTCAGACTCGTCCCAGTTCTCATGTGAAGATTCTGGTATGCTATCCACAACGATGTTATTCCACCTGGATTGTCCCTCTATATAAACATGGGTCCCATTATGCCTGCCAAAAACCAAACACTGCATTCCACAGCAAGAACCTTATACCAATGGTTAAGCATGGTGATGGTAGTGTAATTGTTTGTGGATGCTTGCCTTAATAGACGGAAACATGAATTCTGCTCTGTATCAGAGAATTCGCTGTGAGAATGTCAGGCCCATCCGTCTGTGAGCCGAAGCTGAATCGCAGACCCGGATCCAAAACACACAATCAAGTCTACATGAAAACGGCTAAAAAGCTACAGATTTAAAGTTTTGGAATGGCCTAGGCAAAGCCCACACCAAATCCCAATTGAGATGTTGTGGCAGGACTTGAAAGGAGCACAAATGAAAACCCACAAATGTCGCTGAGTTAAAGCAGTTCTGCATGGAAGAGTGGGTCAAAATTCCTCCACAGCGACGTGAGAGACTGATCAACAACTACAGGAAGCAATTGGTTGGAGTCATTGCAGCTAAAGGTGGCACAACCAGTTATTAAGTGTAAGGGGTAATTACTTTTCACACAGGGGCATTGGGTGTTGCATAACTTGGCTTATGAAATAAATTAAATAAGTATGTAATTGTGTTATTTGTTCACTAAGGTTCCCTTTATCTAATATTTGGTTTTGCTTGAAGATCTGATAACATTCAGTATCAAAAATATGCAAAAGTAGAGAAAATTAGAAAGGGGGCAAATACTTTTTCACTGCACTGTATTTTTTAAATATCCATATTATGTCTATCACCGATAAGCTACCAAGGAAAGGGCTAAGAATAGCCCATATTAATATAAACTACATAACCAAAAGTATGTGGACACCTGCTCACCGAACATCTCATTCCAAAATCATGGGCATTAATAGTGAGTTGGTCACCCCTTTGCTGCTATAACAGCCTGCACTCTTCTGGGCAGGCTTTCCACTAGCTGTTGGAACATTGCTGCGGGGACTTGCCACAAGAGTATTCATGAGGTCGGCACTGATGTTGGGCGATTAGGCCTGGCTCGCAGTCGACGTTCCAATTCATCCCAAAGGTGTTCGATGGGGTTGAGGTCAGGGCTCTATGCAGACCAGACAAGTTCTTCCACACCGATCTCAACAAACCATTTCTGTATGGACCTCGCTTTGTGCACGGGGGCATTGTCATGCTGAAACAGGAAAGGGCCTTCCCAAAACTGTTGTCACAAAGTTGGAAGCAGAGAATTGTCTAGAATGTCACTGTATGCTGTAGTATTAAGATTTCCCATCACTGGAACTAAGGGGCCTAGCCCAAACCTTGAAAAACAACCCCAGACCATTATTCCTCCTCCACCAAACTTTACAGTTGCCACTATGTATTGGGGCAGGTAGCGTTCTCCTGGCATCCGCCAAACCCAGATTTGTCCGTCGGACTGCCAGATGGTGAAGCGAGATTCATCACTCCAGAGAACGCATTTCCATTGTTCCAGAATCCAATGGTGGCGAGTTTTACACCACTCCAGCCGACGGTTGGCATTGCGCATGGTGATCTTAGGCTTGTGTGCGGCTGCTCAGCCATGGAAACCCATTTCATGAAGCTCCCGATGAACAGTTATTGTGCTGACGTTGCTTCCAGAGACAGTTTGGAACTCGGTAATGTGTTGCGACCGAGGACAAACGATTTTTACGCGCTTCAACGCGTGGCGCTCCCATTCTGTGAGATTGTGTGTGGTCTACCACTTGGATTAATGATGAATTAAAATATGGTATGGTTCAGCTGATTGGTTGACTTACTGTAACTTGAGAAATGTTGTGAATAAACTTAATAAAAATAAGAAGAAATTGCATAAAAAACTATGGAAAAATACTTTGGAGTACCTTAAATTATATCATAGGCAGAAAACCCAATTAATCTCCCTAATTTCTTTGAAGTTGGTTGGGTAATTTATAACAAAATCTTTCAATATTGCCAATCATTTCAATGACTATTTCACTGGTAAAGTGGAAAAACTCAGAAGTGATATGGCATACTTTAACAGTGAACCATTATATTTTTGTATAAATGATAAAATAATGAAAGAGAAGGATTCCTGTTTTGAATTTGGTCAAGTTAGTGTGGGAGAAGTGGAAAAACTATCCATCAGTAATGATAAGCCACCAGGTATAGAAACTATTGAGAATAGTAATAGACTATATTTAACAAAGCCTAAAGGAGTGTGTGTCCACAGACGTGGAAAGAAGCTAAAGTAATTCTAAAGCCTAAACATTGTAAAGCACAATTTGCTAGCTCTAACAGCCGCCAAATCAGTTTGCAGCCTGTTCTTAGTAAACTGATGGAGAGGGTTGTGTTTGACCAAATACAATGATATTTGTACATGTTAACTACGGACTTTCAGCATGCATATCGAGAAGGGCACTCAACTTGTACTGCGCTGACTCAGATGACTGATGATTAGTTAAAATAAATGGATAATAAGATGATAGTTGGAGCTGCATTGTTATATTTCAGTGCAGCATTTTTATGTTATTGATCAACAACAACATGCATGCCAGTCATTCCTGGTTGAGGGTTGACGAGACATTAACTGCTTCTTTTCTAGTTATGAGAAATATTACTGTGAAGAAAATGTAGAATCAAATAACATTCAGCTCAGACACCCATACATTTACATTTACATTTTAGTCATTTAGCAGACGCTCTTATCCAGAGCGACTTACATTATCTTGTTTATGTTTGTTTTTTTATTTTTTTATTTTTTTCACACTGGCCCCCCGTGGTAATCGAACCCACAACCCTGGCGTTGCAAACGCCATGCTCTACATCCCTACAAGACATACCACCAGGTCTTGTCACAGTTTTATACAGAGACATGAATTCCCTTCCATCTCCAATTACTCAAGCAAACAGAAAAATTACATTTAAAAATCGGATTAAAAAACAACTCCTGGAATGGCATGGACTGTGAGGGGATACACACACAAACACACTCTAACACAAACATCCTTTTTTTGTTGCATTATTTGTATATTGTGATATTTTACATTTGTGTGACTTTCCCTGTCTATCAGTGTATCACGTTTTTTGTTTTTAGTGGACACAAGGAAGAGTAGCTGCTGCTTCTGTAAAAGCCAATGGAGATCCAAATGAACAAATAAACATATGAGGGCTCCATCACATCCTCAGGGTTTCTCTGCACATTAGAAAAACCCAAAGTAATCCAGTTTTCTCTAATCACGACAATTAGTCCATTAATAAATCGTCGGACCATGACAGACGTTCTTTGTAACTCTCTTCTCTCCAAACAGCCGCTCTCAATACACGCGTTGATTAAAGCGCAGATTAACCAGCAGTGTCCCTGTGCGCCCCACTAGCAGCTCGCTCAATATCAATTATAACACTGCGAGCAGCAGCATGTTGGCATGGGTGGCTCTCTTTCTCACGCTTTCCAATGGCCTAATTGTGTTGGTGGTAATTTATCGGTTTAGAAAGGCAGGAAAACAGTAATGATCAACGTTCAGGCAGGTACGGGGCCTTGACAGACCAGGACCTTAAACTTTCACAGGGAAATGTAGGCCTTCTCTTATAAACACAATGCTAAGATGGCTAGCAGCTAGCTCAGACTACAATATAATAAATGTGTCTTTAATCTATCTGTTCTTATCTAATTGAGGACCTCACACACACCCAATAGTCTGAAAGCAGCACAGGGTGAGCAGCAGAGCAGTGCCATAGTACCTTGCTTAAGGGCACAATGGCAGTAGGTAGCACCTGAGATTCTGACGGCAGCAACCTTTGAGTCGCACTGGCTCACTCCCGGCAGATTTTCCCAGTCGACCCTCTGATTTGAACCAGCAACCCTCTGGTTACTGGCCTGCTTCTCTAACCTTGAGTGTACTGCCACCACCAGTACCGCTCAGCATAATTTCAGTAGAGCGGGAGAGAATGTAGCCTAGATTAGACCAGGTGGCCTTAGGCCTAAACCTGTAGCGTAGCCTATTGGAGTCACTTTTGTAAATAATGATTTGTATTGCCGCATGAAGCAGGTCGTTAAAATAAATGCACATTTCTCCCCTCCACTGACCTACTAGCTTTTGCAGAATTGAAGCTAGTCACAGCTGATTTTATTTATTTATTTCATTATGGAGTATGTTCCAATCGAAGCATAGAAAGAGGCACGAAAGCGCCTCTTGTCCTCAGGAGGCTGAAAAGATTTTGCATGGGCCCTCGGATCCTCAAAAAGTTTTACAATTGCACCATCGAGAGCATCTTGACTGGCTGCATTACCGCTTGGTATGGCAAATGCACCGATCTCGACCGCAAAATGCTACAGAGGGTGATGCGGACGGCCCAGCACATCACTGGGGCCAAACTCCCTCTATATCAGGGGGTGTCAGAGGAAGGCCCGAATAATTGCCAAAGACTTCAGCCTCCCAAGGTATAGACTGTTCATTCTGCTACCGTCCAGCAAACAGTACCGGAGCATCGGCTCTCGGAACAACAGGCTCCAAGACACCTTCTACCCCCAAGCCATAAGACTGCTAAATAGTTAATTAAATGGTTACATGGACTATCTTCATTGAACCTATCTTGCGCTGACTCATTGCACACTCACAATACTTTACAGTGCCTTCAGAAAGTATTCACACCCCTTCACTTTTTCCACATTTTGTTGGCTTACAAAGTGGGATTCAAATTGATTTAATTGTCATTTTCTGTTTACGATCTACACAAAACCTTTTTTTTATGGAAAATAAAACAGTAATTTATTTTGATTAGATATGTAATCAGCGAGTCAATACAATCACCTTCGCCAGAGATTCCAGCTGTTAGTTTTTCTGGGTAAGTCTCTTAAGAGCTTTGGAAACTTGGATAGTGCAATATTTGCCTATTATTATTACAAACATTCTTCAAGCTCTGTCAAGTTGGTTGTTGATGATTGCTAGACAGCCATGTTCAGGTCGTGCCATAGATTTCTTAAGCCGATTTAAGACAAAACTGCAAATAGGCCACTCAGGAACATTCAATGTCGTCTTGCTATGTAACTCCAGTGTATATTTGGCCTTGCGTTTTAGGTCATTGTCTTGCCTGTGCTTACTTCTATTCCTTTTATTTTTATCCTGAAAAACTTCCTAGTCCTTGCAGATGACAAGCATACCCATAACATGATGCAGCCACCATCATGCTTGAAAATATGAAGAGTGGACCTCAGTAATGTGTTGTGTTGGATTTGCCCCAAACATAATGTTTGTATTCAGGACAAAAAGTTAATTTGTTTGCCACATTTTGTGCAGTATTACTTTAGTGCCTTATTGCAAACAGGATGCATCTTTTGGAATATTTTTTATTCACTAGAGGCTTCTTTCTTTTCACTCTGTCATTTAGGTTAGTATTGTGGAGTAACTACACTACAAAGTTGTTGATCCATCCTCAGTTTTCTCCTATCATAGCCATTTAACTCTGTAACAGGTTTAATATCACCATTGGCATCATTTGAAATCCATGAGCAGTTTCCTTCCTCAAAGTCAACTGAGTTAGGAAAGCCGCCTGTATCTTTGTCGTGACTGGGTGTATTGATACACCATCAAAAGTGTAATTAATAACTTCACCATTCTGACAACTTGGATGGAAAATTACTGAGGATAATGGCGGACGATATTGCCACTCCTATTTGTCATATCTAGCCTTCTAGAAAGTGTGTGCCCTCAGGCCTGGAGGGAAGCAAAAGTCATTCCGCTACCCAAGAACAGTAAAGCCCCCTTTACTGGCTCAAATAGCCGACCAATCAGCCTGTTACCAACCCTTAGTAAACTTTTGGAGAAAAAAATGGTTTGACCAGATACAATGCTATTTTACTGTAAACAAATTGACAACAGACTTTCAGCACGCTTATAGGGAAGGACATTCAACATGCATGGCACTTACACAAATTACTGATAATTGGCTGAGAGACATTGATAATAAAAAGATTGTGGGAGCTGTTTTGTTAGATTTCATTGTGTCTTTTGACATTATCGATCATAGTCTGCTGCTGGAAAAACATATGTGTTATGGCTTTACACGCCCTGCTATATTGTGGATAAAGAGTTACCAGTCTAACAGACACAGAGGGTGTTCTTTAATGGAAGCCTCTCCAACATAATCCAGGTAGAATCATTAATTCCCCAGAGCAGCTGTCTAGGCCCCTCACTTTTATCAATCTTTACTAATGACATGCCACTGGCTTTGAGTATGCGGATAACTCAACACTATACAGTGGGGGGAAACAAGTATTTGATACACTGCTGATTTTGCAGGTTTTCCTACTTACAAAGCATGTAGAGGTCTGTAATTTTTATCATAGGTAAACTTCAACTGTGAGAGGCGGAATCTAAAACAAAAATACAGAAAATCACATTGTATGATTTTTAAGTAATTAATTTGCATTTTATTGCATGACATACAGTGAGGGAAAAAAGTATTTGATCCCCTGCTGATTTTGTACATTTACCCACTGACAAAGAAATGATCAGCCTATAATTTTAATGGTAGTTTATTTGAACAGTGAGAGACTGTTCAAATATCCAGAAAAATGCATGTCAAGAATGTTATAAATTGATTTGCATTTTAATGAGGGAAATAAGGATTTGACCCCCTCTCAATCAGAAAGATTTCTGGCTCCCAGGTGTCTTTTATACAGGTAACGAGCTGAGATTAGGAGCACACTCTTAAAGGGCGTGCTCCTAATCTCAGTTTGTTACCTGTATAAAAGACACCTGTCCAAAGAAGCAATCAATCAATCAGATTCCAAACTCTCCACCATGGCCAAGACCAAAGAGCTCTCCAAGGATGTCAGGGACAAGATTGTAGACCTACACAAGGCTGGAATGGGCTACAAGACCATCGCCAAGCAGCTTGGTGAGAAGTTAACAACAGTTGGTGCGATTATTCGCAAATGGAAGAAACACAAAATAACTGTCAATCTCCCTCGGCCTGGGGCTCCAAGCAAGATCTCACCTCATGGAGTTGCAATGATCATGAGAACAGTGAGGAATCAGCCCAGAACTACATGGGAGGAGCTTGTCAACGATCTCAAGGCATCTCAAGGCATCTGGGACCCCTGCTCAAGAAAGCACATATACAGGCACGTCTGAAGTTTGCAAATAAACATCTGAACGATTCAGAGGAGAACTGAGTGAAAGTGTTGTGGTCAGATGAGACCAAAATTGAGCTCTTTGGCATCAACTCAACTCGCCGTGTTTGGAGGAGGAGGCATGCTGCCTATGACCCCAAGAACATCATCCCCACCATCAAACATTGAGGTGGAAACATTTTGCTTTGGGGGTGTTTTTCTGCTAAGGTGACAGGACAACTTCACTTCATCAAAGGGACGATGGACGGGGCCTTGTACCGTCAAATATTGGGTGAGAACCTCCTTCCCTCAGCCAGGGCATTGAAAATGGGTCGTGAATGGTTATTCCAGCATGACAATGACCCAAAACACACGGCCAAGGCAACAAAGGAGTGGCTCAAGAAGAAGCACATTAAAGGTCCTGGAGTGGCCTAGCCAGTCTCCAGACCTTAATCTCATACAAAATCTGTGGAGGGAGTTAAAGGTTCGAGTTACCAAAAGTCAGCCTCGAAACCTTAATGACTTGGAGAAGATCTGCAAAGAGGAGTGGGACAAAATCCCTCCTGAGATGTGTGCAAACCTGGTGGACAACTACAAGAAATGTCTGACCTCTGTGATTGCCAACAAGGGTTTTGCCACCAAGTACTAAGTCATGTTTTGCAGAGGGGTCTAATACTTATTTCCCTCATTATAATGCAAATCAATTTATAACATTTTTGACATGCACTTTTCTGGATTTTTTTGTTGTTATTCTGTCTCCGACTGTTCAAATAAACCTACCATTAAAATAATAGACGGATCATGTTTTGTCAATGGGCAAACGTACAAAATCAGCAAATGATCAAATACTTTTTTCCCTCACTGTAAGTATTTGATCACCTACCAACCAGTAAGATTTCCGGCTCTCACAGACCTGTTAGTTTTTCTTTAAGAAGCCCTCCTGTTCTCCACTCATTACCTGTATTAACTGCACCTGTTTGAACTCGTTACCTGTATAAAAGACACCTGTCCACACACTCAATGAAACAGACTCCAACCTCTCCACAATGTCCAAGACCAGAGAGCTGTGTAAGGACATCAGGGATACAATTGTAGACCTGCACAAGGCTGGGATGGGCTACAGGACAATAGGCAAGCAGCTTGGTGAGAAGGCAACAACTGTTGGCGCAATTATTAGAAAATGGAAAGAAGATCATGATGACGGTCAATCACCCTCGGTCTGGGGCTCCATGCAAGATCTCACCTCGTGGGGCATCAATGATCATGAGGAAGGTGAGGGGTCAGCCCAGAACTACACGGCAGGACCTGGTCAATGACCTGAAGAGAGCTGGGACCACAGTCTCAAATAAACCCATTAGTAACACACTACTCCGTCATAGATTAAAATCCTGCAGCGCACGCAAGGTCCCCCTGGTCAAGCCAGCCCTGTCCAGGTCCGTCTGAAGTTTGCCAATGACTATCTCAGAGGAGGAATGGGTGAAGGTCATGTGGTCTGATGAGACAAAATTAGAGCTTTTTGGTCTAAACTCCACTTGCCGTATTTGGGGGAAGAAGAAGGATGAGTACAACCCCAAGAACACCATCCCAACCGTGAAGCATGGAGGTGGAAACATCATTCTTTGGGGATGCTTTTCTGCAAAGGGGACAGGACGACTGCACCGTATTGAGGGGAGGATGGATGGGGCCATATATCGTGAGATCTTGGCCAACAACCTCCTTCCCTCAGTAAGAGCATTGAAGATGGGTCATGTCTGGTCTTCCAGCATGACAACGACCCAAAACACACAGCCATGGCAACTAAGGATTGGCTCTGTAAGAAGCATATTAAGGTCCTGGAGTGGCCTAGCCAGTCTCCAGACCTGAACCCAATAGAAAATCTTTGGAGGGAGCTGAAAGTCCGTATTGCCCAGCGACAGCCCCGAAACCTGAAGGATCTGGAGAAGGTCTGTATGGAGGAGTGGGCCAAAATCCCTGCTGCAGTGTGTGCAAACCTGGTCAAGACCTACAGGAAACGTATGATCTATGTAATTGCAAACAAATGTTTCTCTACCAAATATTAAGTTCTGCTTTTCTGATGTATCAAATACTTATGTCATGCAATAAAATGCAAATTAATTACTTTAAAATCATACAATGTGATTTTCTGGATTTTTGTTTTAGATTCCGTCTCTCACAGTTGAAGTGTACCTATGATAAAAAATTACAGACCTCTACATGCTTTGTAAGTAGGAAAACCTGCAAAATCGGCAGTGTATCAAATCCTTGTTCTCCCCACTGTACATGTCAGCTACTACAGCGAAATCATTCACTACACCCTAAACCTCAACTAAATATTGTAATAAATAATATGGAAATCGAGCAAGTTGAGGTGACTAGACTGCTTGGAGTAACCCTGGATTGTAAACTGTCATGGTCAAAACATGTTGATACAACAGTGTCTAAGATGGTGAGAAGTGTTTCCATAATAATGCCTTTTTAATTCTATCAACAAGGAAGGTCCTACAGGCCCTAGTTTTGTTGCACCTTGACTACTGTTCAGTCATGTGGTCAGAGAGGGACCTCGGAAAATTACAATTGGCTCAGAACAGTGAAGCACGGCTGGCCCTTAAATGTACACGGAGAGCTAACATTAATAATATAAATGTAAACCTCTCATGCATCAAAGTGGAGGAGAGATTGACTACATCACTTCTTGTTTTTGTAAGAAGTGTTGACATGCTGAATGCACCGAGGTGTCTGTTTAAACTACCAGCACACAGCTCGGACACCCATGCATACCCCACAAGATATGACACCAGAGGTCTCTTCACAGTGCCCATGTCCAAAACAGACTATGGGAGGTGCACAGTACTACTTAGAGCCATGGCTACATGGAGCTCTATTCCACATCAGGTAACTGATGCAAACAGTAGAATCAGATTTTAAAAAGCATATAAAAATACACCTTATGGAACAGCGGGGACTGTGGAGAGACACACATGCACAGACACACGCATACACATACACATGAAAAGACTCTACACACACATACACATGGATTTTATATTGTAGATATGTAGTAGTAGAGTAATGGCCTGAGGGAAAGGTGTTATGAAATGTTATGTCATGTAATATTTTAAATTGTATAGAACTGCCTTAATGTTGCTAGACCACAGGAAGAGTAGCTGCTGCCTTGGAAACAGCTAATGGGGATACTTAATAAATACAAATACAAAGGGATATTCAATGTCAAATAGTCCAGGTAGCCATGATTAGCTGTTCAGGAGTCTTATGGCTTGGGGGTAGAAGCTTGTCACACTCTGGCTAGGGACTCTAGTATTTGAGCCAGGGTGTGTTCGTTTCTTTGTGTTTTGTTTCTTGGTTGGGTTGTTCTAGGTTGTTGTATTTCTTTGTTTGAGTGACTCCCAATCAGAGGTAACGTGTGTTAGCTGTTGGCTCGTTGTCTCTGATTGGGAGCCATATTTAAACTGTCTGTTTTCACCTTGTGTTTGTGGGTTTTTGTTCCGTGTTCAGTCAGTGTTACGTTGGACTTCACGAATCGTCTATTGTTTTGTTTTTGTGCGTTATTTTCATTAAAGTCTATCATGTTCGTGCAACACGCTGCGCTTTGGTCTACTCCTTATCATGACGATCGTGACAGAAAAACCCACCAAACACAAAGGAAAACCGACAGTTTAAATATGGCTCCCAATCAGAGACAACGAGCCAACAGCTGACACTCGTTACCTCTGATTGGGAGTCACTCAGGTACACATAGAAAAAGAACAACTAGACTACCCAACATAGAAAAGAAAACACACCGAAACAAACACACCCTGGCACAACAACTCGAGTCCATAGCCAGAGTGTGACAGTACCCCCCCCTAAAGGCGCGGACTGCGATCGCGCCTAACTACGAGCAAACAGGGGAGGGTTGGGTGGGCATTCCTCCTCGGCGGCGGCTCCGGCTCCGGGCTTGATCCCCACTTCCTCTCCAACCCCCCAAAGTACTCCTGGTCCTGTCTAGCACCGCTGGCCGGAGCCGGACTGACGACACGCGCCCCTGGCTTGGTGCGTGGAACAGGAACGGACCGGACCGGGCTGACGATACACACCCCTGGCTTGGTGCGTGGAGCAGGAATGGACCGGAATGGGCTGGCGACGCGCACCACCGACTTGGTGCGGAGAGCAGGAAACAGGCCGGACAGGGCTGGCGACGCACACCGTAGGTTTGGTGCGTGGAGCAGGGACAGGCCGGGCCGGGCTGACGACGCACCCCGTAGGCTTGGTGCGTGGAGCAGGAACAGGCCGGGCTGGGCTGGCGACGCACACCATAGGCTTCGTGCGTGGAGCAGGAACAGGCCGGGCTGGGCTGGCGACGCACACCGTAGGTTTGGTGCGTGGAGCAGGAACAGGCCGGGCAGGGCTGGCGACGCACACCGTAGGTTTGGTGCGTGGAGCAGGGACAGGCCGGGCCGGGCTGATGACGCACCCCGTAGGCTTGGTGCGTGGAGCAGGGACAGGCCGAACAGGGCTGGCAACGCACACCGTAGGCTTCGTGCGTGGAGCAGGAACAGGCCGGGCTGGGCTGGCAACGCACACCGTAGGCTTCGTGCGTGGAGCAGGAACAGGCCGGACTGGGCTATGGAGACGGATAGGAGACCTGGAGTGAAGAGCTGCCACAACCCGTCCTGGCTGAATGCCTACCTTCACACACTCTGTGTGAGGCATCAGCACAGGACGTACAGGGCTGTGTACCCGTACTGGCATAACAGCACGTGACACTGGCGCAGGATATCCGGGACCGAGGAGAGGCACTGGAGGCCGCGAGCGCTGAGCCGGCACACTCCGTCCTGGCTGCATGCCCACCTTCGCACAACACGTGCGGGGTGCTCGCACAGGACGTACCGGACTATGCCGGACCACTCGCGGCACAGTGCGCATCTCCGCATACCGCGGAACCTGCCCAGTCTCATGCTGCCATGCCTGAGTACGGGGAGTTGGCTCTGCTCTCCATCCAGGCTCCGCCAACCTGCCTTCTGGCCCCCAAAAGCCGGTGGCCTCCTCTCTTAATCTCCCAATCCGCCCTGTGGCAGCCTCCTGCTGCCCAGTCGCCCATGCCGTGTGCCCCCCCCTAAAAAATTATTGGGGGTGCCTCTCGCCTTTCCGACCACGGCCCGGTTGACGCCGCTTCTCCACTCCTGCCTGGGTCTCCCCCTTCATCGCCTTCCGGTACCGGACGGCCTCCTCCTCGGTAATCTGCCCCCAACCGAGGAGGACATCCACCAGCGTCACCTCCTGCGTGTGTTCCTGGACACGCTGCTTGGTCTTTGTATGGTGGGCAGGGTGTGTTCGTTTCTTTGTGTTCTGTTTCTTGGTGGGTTTTTGTTCCGTGTTCAGTCAGTGTTACTGTGGACTTCACGATCGTGTTTTGTTTTGTACTTGTGCTTTAACTATTAAAGTCATGTTCGTTTCACACGCTGCGCCTTGGTCTACTCCTTCTCGTCAAGGCGATTACGTGACAGAAAAACCCACCTTAACCAGATCAAGCAGCGTGACGAGGAGAGAGGATGGACGTGGCAGGAGATGATTGATAGTATGGCAAGAGGGAGAGAGGCCTTGGCCGCGGGGAGAGTCCCCCAGGAAATTTTTAGGGGGGGGCTCACGACGTCGGGGCAGCAGGTGTACGGGGTAGAGTGGTGCAAAGCGCTGGCAGAGAAGGCCGCCAGGTTATGGGGGCCACTGGGCACAGAGGAGAGGGAAAGTGTGGAGGCACGGCGAGAGGTACTGGGGTGTGTTACCAGTCCGGTCCGGCCCGTTCCTGATCCCTGCGTGGAGCCAGTGGTGTGTGTCCCCAGTACGGTCCGGCCTGTTCCTGCCATTCCCACCAAGTCAGTGGTGCGCGTCGTCAGCCCAGCCCGGCCTGTTCCTGCCATTCCCACCAAGTCAGTGGTGCGCGTCGTCAGCCCAGCCCGGCCTGTTCCTGCCATTCCCACCAAGTCAGTGGTGCGCGTCGTCAGCCCAGCCCGGCCTGTTCCTGCCATTCCCACCAAGTTAGTGGTGCGCGTCGTCAGCCCAGCCCGGCCTGTTTCTGCCACTCGCACCAAACCTACGGTGCGCGTCGCCAGCCCGGCCCGGCCTGTTCCTGCCACTCGCACCAAACCTACGGTGCGCGTCGCCAGCCCGGCCCGGCCTGTTCCTGCCACTCGCACCAAACCTACGGTGCGAGTCACCAGCCCGGCCCGGCCTGTTCCTGCCACTCGCACCAAGCCAGGGGTACGAGTCGTCAGCCTGGTCCAGCCAGTTCCTGCCACTCGCACCAAGTCAGGGGTACGAGTCATCAGCCTGGTTCAGCCCGTTCCTGCCACTCGCACCAAGCCAGGGGTGCGAGTCGTCGGCCTGGTCCAGCCCGTTCCTGTCACTCGCACCAAGCCCGGGATGCGAGTAGTCAGCCAGGTCCGGCCCGTCGCTGCTCCACGCACCAAGCCAAGGGGGCGCATCGTCAGCCAGGTCCTGTCCGTTCCTGCCTCACGCACCAAGCCAAGGGTGCGCGTCGTCAGTCCGGTGCCTGATCGTCAGTCCGGCGCTTCGGGGGTATTATGGAGGGGTGGTGGGCAAGCCCGGAGCAGGAGCCGCCGCCGAGGAGGAATGCCCATCCAGCCCTCCCCGGTTTTGCTCGTATTTAGGCGCGGTCACAGTCCGCGCCTTTAGGGGGGGGTACTGTCACACTCTGGCTAGGGACTCTAGTATTTGAGCCAGGGTGTGTTCGTTTCTTTGTGTTCTGTTTCTTGGTTGGGTTGTTCTAGGTTGTTGTATTTCTTTGTTTGAGTGACTCCCAATCAGAGGTAACGTGTGTCAGCTGTTGGCTCGTTGTCTCTGATTGGGAGCCATATTTAAACTGTCTGTTTTCACCTTGTGTTTGTGGGTTTTTGTTCCGTGTTCAGTCAGTGTTACGTTGGACTTCACGAATCGTCTATTGTTTTGTTTTTGTGCGTTATTTTCATTAAAGTCTATCATGTTCGTGCAACACGCTGCGCTTTGGTCTACTCCTTATCATGACGATCGTGACAAAGCTGTTAAGAAACCTTTTGGACCTAGATTTGGCGCTCCGGTACCGCTTGCCGTGCCGTAGCAGAGAGAACAGTCTATGTGTATAATAACGGCAGAATCTATAAGAATGTAGAATGAATTATCTGTTTTCTACTAGTTAATGAAAGGTAAGCCCTACTCCTATAGAAGAAGCCCAACTTAATTCTTAATTTCTTGGCTAACTCGTCAACATGCTTTTTAAAAGATAGCTTTTCGACAATCCAGACGCCCAGATATTTATAGACGGGGACACGATCAATGGGGGCACCATCTAACGTACTTATGCACAATTCATCAGTTACATTGTTACATGATTTGGAAAATAACATGTACTTGGTTTTACTAGCATTTAGTACCAACTTCAGGTCAACCAAGGCTTTCTGCAAGGTAGGAAAAGCAGATTGAAGAGTCAACAGAGCCTGAGCTGCCGTAGGGGCAGTAGGGTACACAACAGTGTCATCTGCGTACAGATAAAAGTTACAATTTTGTACAAATAGACCAATGCTGTTAATATAAATAGTGAAAAAAACTGGACAAAGAATCGAACCCTGTGGGACACCTTTTCTTATGTCTAAAAATCCTGATTTAACGCCATCAAGAATAATTCTCAAACCAGCTACAAGTAGCCTGATTTAAGCCAATCGCAGAGAGTTTCTGAATAAGTAAGGTGTGATCCACAGTGTCGAAAGAGGGCAGCACAGTGTTTCTTCGTATGTAAACAATTTTGGACATAAAAGTAGCAGAGATGGTACTATGACCTGGTCTGAACCCTGACTGTTTTACATTCAGAAAATATGTAGCAGTTAAAAGGGATCTAAGCTGAGTATTAATCAATGATTTCAGGATTTTTGCTAGGCAAGAGAGTTTGGAAATGGGACAATCATTATTTAGATCACTCGGGTCGCCACCTTTATGTAAAGGAAGCACATGGGCCGCCTTCCCAAATCTAGGGAGAGTATACGATATAATTGTCAAGTTAAAAATGCGTGTTAATGCTTCCGCAATCAATGGAGCAGAAAGCTATAATAACAAGGGATCAAGCATATCAGACCCAGTAGATTTTTTTTTTACATCAATCATAAGTAGTCGTTCCAATACATCAGAAGTAGGCAGTTGCTCCAGAGAGTACAAGGATTCACTGGGGGTTGTCTGGTCCTCTATCAAGTTGACTAGCGGCTGGGAGAGGGACGAGCAGTATACTGACCGACCCGGGTCTATTAAACCAAGATTTCTTTCAAACAAAAAACCAGCGGACATAAAATGTTGATTAAAAGCATGACCTATCTAATTTTTTTCAATAATGATGTCAGAGTTCAGTATAACTTGCTTGGGTAGGGAAGGAGAGGAATTTCTACGCTTTAGCGCCTAAACTGTTTTCCACAATTTTGATGGATCACCAGCAGAGTCAGCGATAGAACTTAGGAAGTAGCTTGATTTAGCCTACTTTACTAAGGATGTGCATTTATTTGTCAATTGCCTGAAAAGCTGCCAGTCCACAACAGCATCAGTTAGTCTAGCTTTGGCCAAGGCATGATTTCTTGTTCTAAACACATCTGAAAGTTCAGTAGAAAACCAGGGATTTTATCAGTTTTTTAGTCTATAGCGTTTAAAAGGAGAATGTTTATCTGCCAGTGATATAAAGATAGATGATAAATGCTTGAGCTAATTCAGGGTCAGGTATACACTTGATGGAAGAAAGTTCAGAAAAGTACAAGTCATGCATAAACACTTGGGGAGAAAAGTTTGTAAAAATGTATCTTCCTAATAATACGGGGATCAAAATTGTGCTGTCTAGTATCTCTAATATAGGCTATGGGACAATGATCACTAAGGTCACTAGCAAACACACCAAAAGACATGTACTATTGGGGGTTATTCGTGAGAATTAAATCTAATAATGAGGATCTATCTAGATTTTCCCACATTTAACCGGGTGGGTTTTGTGATTAGCTGGGTTAGATTAAGATCAAGACAAATGTTTTTAAAGTCTCAACCAGTCCAGGTTAAAGTCACCTAAGACCACCAGTTCAGATGATAGAAAAGGGTTTAAATGCTCAGCTATGATACTAATCGCATCAACTAAAGCAGCAGGAGGCCTATACACTCCAGCAACAAATACATGCTCGTTTTGGCTCATGGTCACATCTAAAACCAGGATTTCACATTTCTGGGGTATAGTGATATTAAGAGCACATGATGCTACAAAAGTGGATTTCACATATATTGCCACCCCTCCACCTTTTCTCTGCCAATCACATCTAAAAATGTTGTAATTAGCTATGTCAATGTTCTTATCCATGATTGAATAATTTAACCAAGTCTCTGACAAAACAAGAATATCTGTGTTCGTGTCATGCATCCAGATATCGATAAAGTCCATCTTTGACATCATACTTCGCACATTTAAATGTAACAATCCCAGCCCTTTGTGAGACTTAAAAACAGCAGGGGTGTCCATATTTACCCTAACCAGGTCATTATAAACTTGATCATTAAGTTAATCAGGAGATTTCATAGGAATAGAAATTAAGTTATGAAAGCATGCCCAATGGGCCTGCGGCTGCATCTATTTGGTGGCTGTTTAAATCCTATGGAAATTAAGACAGGGATAATGTAGATTTCCTTGACTTGACTATAGTATTTAATATCAGAAACAATTTGATGTGTGATGATGGTTGGGATAACCTGGGTAGAGTGCGGGTTATATCCCAGTCAGTCTCTCAGAGCAGCCTTGAATTGGCTGTGCAATGTATAAGCCCCGAGATAGTTTGAGTGAATTCCGTCTTTCCAAAAAGTGTCAAAGTTATCAATAAAGACAACATTGACAGAGTTACAATAGCTCTTTACCAGACCTGAAGTGATAGCAACCTACTGAATCTACCGTATCCACGTCTCATCGTGGATATGGGACCCAATATAATGGGACGCTTGTTTAGGTATTTCAGTTTCGCAATTAGTTTCATGAAGTCACTTTTAAGTAGTTCAGAACTAGCCAACTTAGTGTCATTAAATCCCACATGTACTATAATAGTATCCGTCTGTTGATTTTGGTTGATGGTTTCAGGAAGTAGCGTAGTGATATCCTTAACTTTTGCACCCGGATAGCATAGGGTTCTAATCCCTGGCAAGGAGATATTCCTTACCATTGAGCTTCCAATGATGAGCGCCGGTCGGATCCCCCCACTACCGTATCTCCGATCAGCGGAAGGAGCCACAGAAATCGGCTGGGGAGAAGACTGCGTAGATCCAGATTGCCGGGGGGGGGGGGGGGGGTTGCCAGCCGCCCGGCACCCTGAATACGAGAGCCCATAGTGTATCCCATAGTGGAGGTATTCGTCAGTGTAGAAGCTACAACATCTACGTACACGGTGTCCGTACGCCCTGAGGAAGACAGCGGGGACAGTAGCTCAAAACGATTTGAGAGTTTAATATTGCGACGCTTCAAGAAAAAACAGAATGATGGGGTGCGGGTCTCTTCCTCCTCTTGAATCACACTCCATTCACGCCCGCCAGGGGTAGAGCTGATAGAATCCGACTTTTGGCTAGGTTCAGAAGGCTGTAAGGTGGTGAAATGCTCAAGATCCATAAAAGTTCCATTACAGTCATCTATTCGATAAGAGGCATCAACAAATGCGGTTAAACGTGAGGCGTCCTTATTCAAAATTAGACGATCATTCAGATGTTTAATTTCGTCAAGTAAAGTAATGATTCTCTTCTTGGCAGCATTTTGTTTGTGGCATTTGACACAGGTGAAGTTTTCAAAAAGGTCCTTCAATGGGATGACTGTGAACATGTCACATAAGATGCATTTAATGGCCTTATGGTCGACGATAAGAGTCAAGGGAGTTTTCACTGCTTTGTGTAGAAGCAGGAGAACACCCTTTACTCAATTCAGCCATTTCACTTGCTAGTCAAATAGACTACTAAAAGGATCCAGGGACAAATCTAGCGGTCCCAGCACTGTGGCTATCCGCGTCGCCGGATCCAAAATAAATAATAAAAACTGGATATAAAATGCTACATATAAAATGAAATAATTATATAATAATCAGTGTAAAAACAATCAATGTAAATAGTCTGGGTGGCCATTTGATTAATTGTTCAGCAGTCTTATGGCTTGGTGGTAGAAGCTGTTAAGAAGCCATTTGGACGTAGACTTGGCGCTCCGGTACCGCTTGCCGTGTGGAAGCAGAGAGAACAATCTATGACTTGGGTGACTGGAGTCCTCAACAATTTTTTGGGCCTTCCTCTTTCACCGCCTAGTATATACAGTGGGGAGAACAAGTGTTTGATACACTGCCGATTTTGCAGGTTTTCCTACTTACAAAACATGTAGAGGTCTGTAATTTTATCATAGGTACACTTCAACTGTGAGAGACGGAATCAAAAACAAAAATCCAGAAAATCACATTGTATGATTTTTAAGTAATTCATTTGCATTTTATTGCATGACATAAGTATTTGATCACCTACCTACCAGTAAGAATTCCGGCTCTCACAGACCTGTTAGTTTTTCTTTAAGAAGCCCTCCTGTTCTCCACTCATTACCTGTATTAACTGCACCTGTTTGAACTCGTTACCTGTATAAAAGACACCTGTCCACACACTCAATCAAACAGACTCCAACCTCTCCACAATGGCCAAGACCATAGAGCTGTGTAAGGACATCAGGGATACAATTGTAGACCTGCACAAGGCTGGGATGGGCTACAGGACAATAGGCAAGCAGCTTGGTGAGAAGGCAACAACTGTTGGTGCAATTATTAGAAAATTGAAGAAGTTCAAGATGACGGTCAATCACCCTCGGTCTGGGGCTCCATGCAAGATCTCACCTCGTGGGGCATCAATGATCATGAGGAAGGTGAGGGATCAGCCCAGAACTACACGGCAGGACCTGGTCAATGACCTGAAGAGAGCTGGGACCACAGTCTCAAAGAAACCCATTAGTAACACACTACGCCGTCATGGATTAAAATCCTGCATCGCTCGCAAGGTACCCCTGCTGAAGCCAGCGCATGTCCAGGCCTGTCTGAAGTTTGCCAATCACCATCTGGATGATCCAGAGGAGGAATGGGAGAAGGTCATGTGGTCTGATGAGACAAAAAAATAGCTTTTTGGTCTAAACTCCACTCGCCGTGTTTGGAGGAAGAAGAAGGATGAGTACAACCCCAAGAACTCCATCCCAACCGTGAAGCATGGTGGTGGAATCATCATTCTTTGGGGATGCTTTTCTGCAAAGGGGACAGGACGACTGCACCGTATTGAGGGGAGGATGGATGGGGCCATGTATCGCAAGATCTTGGCCAACAACCTCCTTCCCTCAGTAAGAGCATTGATGATGGGTCGTGGCTGGGTCTTCCAGCATGACAACGACCCAAAACACACAGCCAGGGCAACTAAGGAGTGGCTCTGTAAGAAGCATCTCAAGGTCCTGGAGTGGTCTAGCCAGTCTCCAGACCTGAACCCAATAGAAAATATTTGGAGGGAGCTGAAAGTCCGTATTGCCCAGCGACAGCCCCGAAACCTGAAGGATCTGGAGAAGGTCTGTATGGAGGAGTGGGCCAAAATCCCTGCTGCAGTGTGTGCAAACCTGGTCAAGACCTACAGGTCTGTAATTGAAAACAAAGGTTTCTGTACCAAATATTAAGTTCTGCTTTTCTGATGTATCAAATACTTATGTCATGCAATAAAATGCAAATTAATTGCTTAAAAATCATACAATATAATTTTCTGGATTTTTGTTTTATATTCCGTCTCTCACAGTTGAAGTGTACCTATGATAAAACAGACCTCTACAGGCTTTGTAAGTAGGAAAACCTGCAAAATAGGCAGTGTATCAAATACTTGTTCTCCCCACTGTAGGTCCTCGATGGCAGGAAGCTTGGCCCCAGTGATGTACTGGGCCGTACGCACTACCCTCTGTAGCGCCATACGGTCAGATGCCGAGCAGTTGCCATACCAGCCGGTGATGCAACTGGTCAGGATGCTCTCGATGGTGCAGCTGTAGAATTTCTTTAGGATCTGGGGACACATGCCAAATCTTTTCAGTCTCCTGAGGGGGAAAATGTGTTGTCGTGTCCTCTTCACGACATCTTAGTGTGTTTGGACCATGATAGTTTATTGGTGATGTAGACACCAAGGAACTTGAAACCCTCGACACGCTCCACTACAGCCCCATTGATGTTAATGGGGGCATGTTCGGCCATCCTTTTCCTGTAGTTCACGATCAGCTCCTTTGTCTTGCTCATGTCGAGGGAGAGGTTGTTGTCCTGGCACCACACTTCCAGGTCTCTGACCTCCTCCCTATAGGCTGTCTAATCTTTGTCGGTGATCAGGCCTACCACTGTTGTGTAACAGCTAATTTAATGAGAGTGTTGGAGTCGTGCTTGGCCACGCAGTCATGGGTGAACAGGGAGTACAGGAGGGGACTAAGCATGCACCCCTGAGGGGCCCCCGTGTTGAGGATCAGCGTGGCAGATGTGTTGTTACTTACCTTTACCACCAGGGGGCAGCCCGTCAAGAAGTCCAGGATCCAGTTGCAGAGGGAGGTGTTTAGTCCCAGGGTCCTTAGCTTAGTGATGAGCTTTGTGGGCACTATGGTGTTGAACTCTGAGCTGTAATAAAAAAAAAGAGCATTCTCACATAGGTGTTCCTTTTGTCCAGGTGGGAAAGGGCAGTGTGGTTGAGAATGCATCGTCGGTGGATCTGTTGGGGCAGTATGCAAATTGGAGTGGGTCTTGGGTTTCTGGGATTATAGTGTTGGTGTGAGCCATGACCAGCCTTTCAAAGCACTTCATGGCTACCGATGTGAGTGCTACGGAGCTGTAGTCATTTAGACAGGTTACCTTCGCTTTCTTGGGCATAGGGACTATGGTGGTCTGCTTGAAACATGTAGGTATTACAGACTTGAAAATGTCAATGTACACTCTTGCCAGTTGGTCAGCGCATGCTCTGAGTACACGTCCTGGTAATCCAACGAGCATCAGAGCCGGGTTAGTAGGATTCAATCTTAGTCCTGTATTGACGCTTTGCCTGTTTGATGGTTCGTCTGAGGGCATAGCGGGATTTCTTATAAGCGTCCGGATTTGTGTCTCGCTCCTTTAAAGCGGCAGCTCTAGCCTTTACCTCGGTGCGGATGATGTCTGTAATAAATGGCTTCTGGTTGGGATATGTACGTACGGTCACTGTGGGGACAACGTCGTCGATGCACTTATTGATGAAGCCGGTAACTGAGGTGGTATACTCCTCAATGCCATTGGATGAATCCCAGAACATATTCCAGTCTGTGCTAACAGTGCTGTAGCGTAGCATCCTCGTCATCGTATTGAGCGAGTCACTGGTACTTTCTGCTTTAGTTTTTGCTTGTAAGCAGGAATCAGGAGGATATAGTTATGTTCAGATTTGCCAAATGGAGGGCGAGGGAGAGCTATGTATAGGTCTCATTGTGTGGAGTAAAGGTGGTCTAGAGTTTTTTTTTCCTCTGGTTGCACATGCTGGTAGAAATTAGGTAAAACTGATTTAAGTTTGCCTGCATTAGTCCCCGGCCACTAGGAGCGCCGCTTCTGGATGAGCATTTTCTTGTTTGCTTATGGTCTTATACAGCTCATTGAGTGTGGTCTTAGTGCCAGGATCGGTTTGTGGTGGTAAATAGACGTCTACGAAAAATATAGAAGAAAACTCTCTTGGTAGATAGTATGGTCTGTAGCTTATCATGCGGTACTCTACCTCAGGCGAGCAATACCTTGAGACTTTCTTAATATTAGACATTGCGCACCAGCTGTTATTGACAAATAGACACACACTCCCACCCCTCGTCTTACCAGACGTAGCTGTTCTGTCCTGCCAATGCACGGAAAACCCAGCCAACTGTATATTATCAGTGTCGTCGTTCAGCCACGACTCTGTGAAACATAAGATATTACAGCTTTTAATGTCCCGTTGGCAGGATAGTCTCAAACGGAGCTCATCCAGTTTATTCTCCAGTGATTGCACATTGGCCAATAGAACGGATGGTAGAGGCGGGTTTACCCACTCGCCGACTAATTCTCACAAGGCACCCCGGTCTCCGTCCCCTGTATTTCCGTATTTTCTTCATGCGAATGATGGGGACTTGGGCCTGGTCTCAGAGAAGCAGTATATAATTCGCATCGAACTCATTAAAGAAAAAACTTTGTCGAGTTCGAGGGGAGTAATTGCTGTTCTGATACCAAGAAGCTCTTTTTGGTCATAAAAGAACGTAGCAGCAACATAATGTACAAAAAACACACAAAATAGCACAGTTATTACAATTATAGCTTAATTCTTATGTATTTTATTCCTCTTGTGTTACTATTTCTATTGTTATTATGTTGTTTTTTTACTCTGCATCATTGTGAAGGGTTCATACTCAAGCATTTCACAGTAAAGTCTACATCCACTGTATTTGGCGCATGTGACAAGTAACATTTTATTTGAGTACCTCGCCCTATTCATTTATCAAAGCTTTTAAAAAGAATGCAACGTAAATGTTTCCCTGCAAATTTACAGCATTATACTGGCAGCAGAGTTGCCAGGTAAACACTGTAATTTTGCTTTGCAGCAAGGATGCTGTATAATGTTTTACAATAAGAAAAACAGTGATGTATTATACAATTACAGTAATTTGCTTGGAAATCTGATGCCAGTATAATGCTGTAAATTTACAGTAAAGCGTGTTACTGTAATCAGTTTTATGGTACCAATACTCCTAATGTAATTTTTTTTGCTAATTGTAATGAATTAATGAATGGACAAATAAATTAAATTAATTTATGGGAAGCAGGGTTTGTATTTTACTGTAATAAACATGGGATTGGGGCAAGCAGGTTGGAGCTAGGTAATGTGTTTACATATTGCATATACATTGGATTCTGAAAGTTTTCAGAACCCTTGACTTTTTCCACATTCTAAAGTCTACACACAATACCCCATAACGACAAAGCAAAAACAGCTATTTAGAATTTTTTGCAAATGTATTAAAAATAAACAACTGAAATATCACATTTACATAAGTATTCAGACACTTTACTCAGTACTTTGTTGAAGCACCTTTGGCAGCGATTACAGCCTCGAGTCTTCTTGTGTATGACGCTACAAGCTTGGCACACCTGTCTTTGGGGAGTTTCTCCCATTCTTCTCTGCAGATCCTCTCAAGCGCTGTCAGGTTGGATGGGGAGCATCGCTGCACAGCTATTTTCAGGTCTCTCCAGAGATGTTCGATTGGATTCAAGTCTGGGCTCTGGCTGGGCCACTCAAGGACATTCAGAGACGTCCCAAAGCCACTCCTGTGTTGTCTTGGCTGTGTGCTTAGGGTCATTGTCCTGTTGGAAGGTGAACCTTCACCCAAGACTGAGGTCCGGAGTGCTCATGAGCAGGTTTTCATCAAGGATCTCTCTGTACTTTGCTCTGTTCATCTTTCCCTTGATCCTGACTAGTCTCCCAGTCCCTGCCACTGAAAAACATCCCCACAGCATGATGCTGCCACCACCATGCTTCACTGTAGGGATGGTGCCATGTTTCCTCCAGACATGACGTTTGGCATTCATGCCGAAGAGTTCAATCTTGGTTTCATCAGACCAGAGAAACTTGTTTCTCATGCTATGAGACTTTAGGTGCCTTTTGGAAAACACCAAGCGGGCTGTCATGTGCCTTTTACTGAGGAGTGGCTTCTCTCTGGCCACTTTACCATAAATGCCTGATTGGTGGAGTCCTGCAGAGATGGTTGTCCTTCTGGAAGGTTCTCCCATCTCCACAGAGGAACTCTAAAGCTCTGTCAGGTTCTTGGACACCTACCTGACCAATGCCCTTCTCCCCCGATTGCTCAGTTTGGCCGGGCGGCCAGCTCTAGGGAGAGTCTCGTGGTTCCAAACTTCTTCCATTTAAGAATGATAGAGGCTACTGTGTTCTTGGGGACCTTCAATGCTGCAGAAATGTTTCAATACCCTTCGACAGATCTGTGCTTCATCACAATCCTGTCTCGGAGCTCTACGGACAATTCCGTCAACCTCATGACTTGGTTTCTGCTCTGACATGCAGAGTCAACTCTGGGACCTTATATAGACAGATGTGTGCCTTTCAAAATCATGTCCAATATATTGAATTTACCACAGGTGGACTCCAATCAAGTTGTAGAAACATCTCAAGGATGATCAATAGAAACAGGATGCACCTGAGCTCAATTATGAGTCTCATAGCAAAGTGTCTGAATATTATGTAAATAAGGTATTTCAGTTTTTTTTTTTTTTTATGCATTTGCCAAAATTTCTAAAAACCTGTTTTCGCTTTGTCATTATGGGGTATTGATGTTATACATTTTTTTTGGTATATATTTTTGAATAACGCTGTAACGTAACAAAATGTGGAAAAGGTCAAGGGGTGTGAATACTTTCCGAATGCACAGTAAATATACTGTATATATATATATATATACACAGTACCAATCAAACGTTTGGACACACCTACTCATTCAAGGGTTTATCTTCATTTTTTACCATTTTCTACATTGTAGAATAATAGTGAAGACATCAAAACTATTAAATAACACATATGGAATCATGTAGTAACCAAAAAAGTGTTAAATACATTCTTCAAAGTAGCCACACTCTGGCATTCTCTCAAACAGCTTCACCTTGAATGCTTCTCCAACAGTCTTGAAGGAGTTCCCACATGCTGAGCACTTGTTGGCTGTTTTTCCTTCTCTCTGGACTCCAACTCATCCCTAACCATCTCAATTGGGTTGAGGTTGGGTGATTGTGGAGGCCAGGTCATCTGATGCAGCACTCCATCACTCAACGTCTTGGTCAAATAGACCTTACAGAGCCTGGAGGTGTGTTGGGTCATTGTCCTGTTGAAAAACAAATGATAGTTCCACTAAGTGCAAACCAGATGGGATGGCGTATCGCTGCAGAATGCTGTGGTAGCCATGCTGGTTTAGTGTGCTTTGAATTCTTATTAAATCACTGACAGTGTCACCAGCAAAGTACCCACACACATCACACCTCCTCCTCCATGCTTCACAGTGGGAACGACGTATGCGGAGATCATCCGTTCACCTACTCTGCGTCTCACAAAGATACGGCGGTTGGAAACAAAAATCTCAAATTTGGACTCATCAGACCAAAGGACATATTTCCACCGGTCTAATGTCCATTGCTTGTGTTTCTTGGCCCAAGCAAGTCTCTTCTTATTACTGGTGTCCTTTAATAATATTTAATAATATGCCATTTAGCAGACGCTTTTATCGAAAGCGACTTTCATTACATTAGTAGTGTTTTCTTTGCAGCAATTCGACAATGAAGGCCTGATTCATGCACTCTCCTCTGAACAGTTGATGTTGAGATGTGTCTGTCACTTGAACTCTGTGAAGCATTTATTTGGGTTGCAATTTCTGAGGCTGGTAACTCTAATGAACTTATCTTCTGCTGCAGAGGTAACTCTGGGTCTTCCTTTCCTGTGGCGGTCCTCATGAAAGCCAGTTTCATGATAGCACTTCATGGTTTTTACTCCACTTGAAGAAACTTTCAAATGTATTGAAATGTTCCGCATTGACTGACCTTCCTGTCTTAAAGTAATGATGGACTGTAATTTCTCTTTGCTTATTTGAGCTGCCATAATATGGACTTGGTCTTTTACCAAATAGGGCTATCTTCTGTATACCAGCCCTACCTTTTCATAACACAAATGATTGGCTCAAATGCATTAAGAAGGAAAGAAATTCCACAAGTTACCTTTTAACAAGGCACACCTGTTAATTGATATGCATTCCAGGTGACTACCTCATGAAGCTGGTTGAGAGAATGCCAAGCGTGTGCAAAGCTGTCATCAAGGCCAAGGGTGGCTACTTTGAAGAAACTCAAATATAAAATACATTTTGATTTGTTTAACACTTTTTTGGTTACTACATGATTCCATATGTGTTGTTTCATAGTTTTGATGTCTTCACTATTATTCTACAGTGTAGAAAATAGTAAAAAATAAAGAAAATGCTGGAATGAGTAGGTTTGTCTAAACTTTTGACTGGCTGACCCCAGCAGCTGCTGAAAATATTCTTCCACTTCACAGCCGCTTCAATAAGATAATTACTAAAATTGTCTGAGCTTCATGCATCTCACCCGACAGCATGAGGTTGGCCCCTGAAACTGAAAATGTTAATCAACAGTAGGCATAAGCTATTACTGTAAAGAAATTAATCATGTTAGAATAATTTTTACAGGTGGCTTCCAATTACAGTTAATAACATCAATAATTCTGTAAAACACAGTTAAGGTATTTTACTGCGTGTTCTACAGTGTTTTAGTTTTGAAATTACAGAAAAGTCTTCAAAGTGGGTAAAAAATATTACAGACGGAAATGCATCAATATTGGGTCCTTCTTGCATTGGAGTGGCATTTGTCGCTCGCCTTTGTTACACATCATACATGTTTTTGTTTATATTGAACTGTTTATCAATGATAGAAAAATAATGCAAGTCCTTTATACTCCAAAACTTTAGTTTCTGCATTGTTTAATGGACTTAGGGAAAGGATACTGGCTTGTCTTAGTAGTGATGAGTGAGGTTGTACTGACATGTTTTGGGGATTTAGAGATATCTATCTATTATTTTGAATGCTAGAAAGTAAATACAATTATTTCATATATTGTATAGATCAATAAAAACAAATAAGGCTATTAAAATACCTTCTTTTTTTGCAAATGTGTTTAACCCTAAGGTGTCATAGGTGTTATCGCCTTTAAAACAATTATAATTTCAAAGATACAGTATACAAGGACCTTGAGAATTCCCTTCAGTGGTAAACTGTTATCGGGGGAGGGGACTATATATATGTGTGTATATATATATATATATATACTGTTGAAGTCGGATGTTTACATACACCTTAGCCAAATACATTTAAACTCAGTTTTTCACAATTCCTGACATTTAATCCTAGTAAAAATGCCCTGTTTTAAGTCAGTTAGGATCACCACTTTATTTTAAGAATGTGAAATGTCAGAATAATAGTAGAGAGAATGATTTATTTCAGCTTTTATTTCTTTCATCACATTCCCAGTGGGTCAGAAGTTTACATACACTCAATTAGTATTTGGTAGCATTGCCTTTAAATTGTTTAACTTGGGTCAAACGTTTCGGGTAGCCTTCCACAAGCTTCCCACAATAAGTTGGGTGAATTTTGGCCCATTCCTCCTGACAGAGCTGGTGTAACTGAGTCAGGTTTGTAGGCCTCCTTGCTCGCACACGCTTTTTCAGTTCTGCCCACAAATGTTCTATAGGATTGAGGTCAGGGCTTCGTGACGGCCACTCCAATACCTTTACTTTGTTGTCCTTAATCCATTTTGCCACAACTTTGGAAGTATGCTTGGGGTCATTGTCCATTTGGAAGACCCATTTTCGACCAAGCTTTAACTTCCTGACTGATGTCTTGAGATGTTGCTTCAATATATCCACATAATTTCCTTCCTCATGATGCCATCAATTTTGTGAAGTGAACCAGTCCCTCCTGCAGCAAAGCACCCCCACAGCATGATGCTGCCACCCCCGTGCTTCACGGTTGGGATGGTGTTCTTCAGCTTGTAAGTCCCCCCTTTTTCCTCCAAACATAACGATGGTCATTATGGCCAAACAGTTCTATTTTTGTTTAATCAGACCAGAGGACACTTCTCCAAAAAGTACGATCTTTGTCCCCATGTGCAGTTGCAAACCGTAGTCTGCTTTTTTTATGGTGGTTTTGGAGCAGTGGCTTCTTCCTTGCTGAGCGGCCTCTCTAGGAGATAGAACTCGTCTCCTTCCTGAGTGGTATGACGGCTGCGTGGTCCCATGGTGTTTATACTTGCGTACTATTGTTTGTACAGATGAATGTGGTACCTTCGGGCGTTTGGAAATTGCTCCCAAGGATGAACCAGACTTGTGGCGGTCTACAATTTTTTTCTGAGGTCTTGGCTTATTTCTTTTGATTTTCCCATGATGTCAAGCAAAGAGGCAATGAGTTTGAAGGTAGGCCTTGAAATACATCCACAGGTACACCTCCACTGGACTCAAATGATGTCAATCAGAAGCTTCTAAAGCCATGACATAATTTTCTGGAATTTTCCAAGCTGATAAAGGCACAGTCAACTTAATGTATGTCAACTTCTGACCCACTGGAATTGTGATACAGTGAATTATAAGTGAAATAATCTGTCTGTAAACAATTGTTGGAAAAATTACTTGTGTCATGCACAAAGTAGATGTCCTAACCGACTTGCCAAAACTATAGGTCATTAACAAGAAAATTGTGGAGTGGTTGAAAAATGAGTTTTAATGACTCCAACCTAAGTGTATGTAAACATCCGACATCAACTGTTGATTTAATGGTTGTAAAGATGGGGAGAGGTCTATCCGTAAAAAAGAGATGCTCTGCTTTTTTGACCCCACACTCTAAAAAGCAAGTTCTGCAGGCCCTAGTTGTGTCTAATCTTGATTATTGTCCAGTCGTGTGGTCCAGTGCTGCAAGGAAAGACCTAGTTAAGCTGCAGCTGGCCCAAAACAGAGCGGCACGTCTTGCTCTTCAATGTAATCAGAGGGCTGATATAAATACTATCCATGCCAGTCTCTCTTGGCTAAGAGTTGAGGAGAGACTGACTGCATCACTTCTTCTTTTTGTAAGAAATATTAATGTGTTGAAAATCTGACATTGTTTGTATAGTCAACTTCACACATCTCTGACACACACACACTTGTACAATCCTGCAGCGCCCGCAAGGTCCCCCTGCTCAAGAAAGCACATATACAGGCCCGTCTGAAGTTTGCCAATGAACATCTGAATGATTCAGAGGAGAACTAGGTGAAAGTGTTGTGGTCAGATGAGACCAAAATTGAGCTCTTTGGCATCAACTCAACTCGCCGTGTTTGGAGGAGGAGGAATGCTGCCTATGACCCCAAGAACACCATCCCCACCGTCAAACATGCTTTGGGGGTGTTTTTCTGCTAAGGGGACAGGACAACTTCACCGCATCAAAGGGATGATGGACGGGCCATGTACCATCAAATCTTGGGTGAGAACCTCCTTCCCTCAGCCAGGGCATTGAAAATGGGTCGTGGATGGGTATTCCAGCATGACAATGTCCCAAAACACACAGCCAAGGAAACAAAGGAGTGGCTCAAGAAGAAGCACATTATAATTAAGGTCCTGGAGTGGCATAGCCAGTCTCCAGACCTTAATCCCATAGACAATCTGTGGAGGGAGCTGAAGGTTCGAGTTGCCAAATGTCACGATCGTCAAATACAGTGGACCAATGCGCAGCGTGATAAGCGAACATACTTCTTTATTAATGTCACCACACGAACAAAACAACAAACGATACGTGAAGTCCTTGGTCTACAACACCAAACCAACACGGAACAAGATCCCACAACACACTGTGGAAAACAGGCTGCCTAAGTATGGTTCCCAATCAGAGACAACAAGCAACAGCTGATACACGTTGCCTCTGATTGAGAACCACACCGGCCAACATAGAAACAAATGAACTAGACAATCACCCTAGCACACAAAACACATAGAAACAACACACCCTGGCTCAACATAATAGAGTCCCAGAGCCAGGGCGTGACACCAAACGTCAGCCTCGAAACCTTAATGACTTGGAGAAGATCTGCAAAGGGGAGTGGGACAAATTCCCTCCTGAGTTGTGTGCAAACCTGGTAGCCAACTACAAGAAACGTCTGACCTCTGTGATTGCCAACAAGGGTTTTGCCACCAAGTACTAAGTCATGTTTTGCAGAGGGGTCAAATACTTATTTCCCTCATTAACATGCAAATCAATTCATAACATTTTTGATGTGTTTTTCTGGATTTTTTGTTGTTGTTATTCTGTCTCTCACTGTTCAAATAAACCTACCATTAAAATTATAGACTGATCATGTCTTTGTCAGTAGGAAAACATACAAAATCAGCAGGGGATCAAATACTTTTTTCCCTCACTGTATGTGTGCCTTTTTAAAAATGTATGTAGTTCTGTCCTTGAGCTGTTCTTGTCTCTTAATGCTATGTATTATGTCATGTTTCATGTTTTGTGTAGACTCCAAGAAGAGTAGCTTATGCTTTTGCAACAGCTAATGAGGATCCTAATAAAAATAAAATACCAAATAAGTGTGCTGAATGTCTGTTGTCAATTTGTTTAGTGTAAAATAGCATTGTACCTGGTCAAAAACAATTTTTTCCAAAAGTTTACTAAGTGTTGTTAACAGGCTTTGGTTGGCTATTTGAGCCAATAAAGCAGGCTTTACTATTTTACGTAGCGAAATTACTTTTGCTTCCCTCCAGGCCTGAGGGCACACACTTTCTAGTAGGATTAGATTGAAGATATGGCAATATCATCCACTATTATCTGGAGTCATTTTTCATCCATGTTGCCAGACCCCGTGGCTTGTCATTGTTTATAGACCCTGGTGGCTTGTCATTGTTTATAGACACCCATACTTTTTTCACCTCTTCCACACTCACTTTACGGAATTCAAAAGTACAATGCTTGTCTTTCATAATTTGATCATTTATACTTGGATGTGTAGTGTCAGCGTTTGTTCCTGGCATGTCATGCCTAAGTTTGCTAATCTTGCCAATCAAAAAATCATTAAAGTATTTGGCAATATCAGTGGGTTTTGTGATGAATGAGCCATCGGATTCAATGAATGATAGAGCTGAGTTTGCCTTTTTGACCTAAATGTAATTTAAGGTGCTCCAAAGCTTTTTGCTATCATTCTTTATGTCATTTATCTTTGTTTCATAGTATAGTTTCTTGTTTTTATTCAGTTTAGTCACATGATTTCTCAATTTGAGGTACGTTTGCCAATCGGTTGTGCTGCCAGACTTATTTGCCATACCTTTTGCATCCTCCCTATCACCATAAAATGTTTCAATTCAGCACCATCGCTAGACCAGCACATTTGACTGCACATTCCTCACTCGCTAGATGCGCAGTTAAAGGGGAATTAAACCCACAAATATTTTCTTCCAGACCAAAAAAGTAGTCTTCTGATGTGATTTAAGCATTGACATGGACTCAGTATGTGCAATTCCGTTGTTTCTCTATGAACAATTGTAATTTTGAGAGTGAAAAACTAAAACAATTTCACTGAGAAACTAATTGTGGGAAAAAAACAGATTTTATAGGGTCCCCCTTAGAGTTGTTAATTAACCATTATTTTACCAGGTATATTGACAGAAAACATAATGCACTAATTTATGTTGCAGAGGAGAGTAGAAGAAAATAATGTGCCTATTTGAAAACCAGAAAAACATGAGTAGCTCTCATGCTAGGAAAGGTATTTTATTGCTTATTTACCCCTGGTCTAGAATGTATTGGGGGGAGGGGGAAATAATATTGTCTCAAATTACAAAAAGCTGGTCTTGGGAATCACTGTATGTAGCCTAGTGTCTGTAGCCCTTAGGGCACTGGGCTCTCTTTCAACTGGAAAGGTTTCCTGCAGCCTGTTCAGGGCTTCATCGGCGCTTGTGAACTCCTTTCTCTGTGTTCCCTACCATTCCTACAACAATGCCGGGAATCGGAGTTGAGACTTGATTCCATTTTCCTCCAGTCACTGTCTGATCGGAATTAATTGCTAGATTTTTTTCCTCAGCTTAGCAGACACGTCCTGGACTAATTGAATGGACTGGACATGGATTTTTGATTTCCTTTCCCCCCGGTGCCTTCAGAATGTTGACTTTGGCCTGATAGTTCCACAGCTTAAAGATTATCGTGCGAGGGTATTTATCTTTCTTCTGTTTCACGCCGATCCGATAACATTGCTCCAGATCCTCCAGTGATACATCCACGCCAAGCTACTCCCATATGAGCTTGATCACATAGCTGAAAAGGTCTCCTTTTTCCTCATCTTCTGGTAGGGACAATATTCTCATTATTTTGTCTCAATCTGTTTTCTAGCTGGATCAGCTCATCTCCTAAAGTTTGCACTGTTGTTTCCAGAAGGTCAATTGTGTTGTCTTGTTCATCCAAGCGCCCGCCATGTATATGAATATCTGACATGATACTCTATTCTTCTTTGCTTTAACAACAGATTGTAACAGTTTGTTTTAGTCAGCATTGAGAACATTTGAAATAAAATCTAATTTTATTTGCCACATGCGCCGAATACAATCTTACAGTGAAATGCTTATTTACAAGCCCTTAACCAACAATGCAGTTTTAAGAAAAAAAAAGTGTTAAGTAAAAAAATAGACAAGTAAAAAATTAAAATAACAAATAATTAAAGAGCAGCAGTAAAATAACAGTTGGGAGGCTATATGCAGGGGGTACCGGTACAATGTCAATGTGCGGGGGCACCAGTTAGTCGAGGTAATTGAGGTAATATGTACATGTGGGTAGTGTTAAAGTGACTATGCATGAATAATACAAGGTGGTGATGCAACCAGTCAGGATGCTCTCGATGGTGCAGGATCTGAGGACCCATGCCAAATCGTTTCAGTCTCCTGAAGGGGAATAGGCTTTGTCGTGCCCTCTTCACAACTGTCTTGGTGTGTTTGGACCATGATAGTTTGTTGGTGATGTGGACACCAAGGAAATTGAAGCTCTCAACCTTTTCCACTACAGCGCCGTTGATGAGAATGGGGGTGTGCTCAGTCCTCTTTTTTTTTCCTGTAGTCCACAATCATCTCCTTTGTCTTGATCACGTTGAGGGAGCGGTTGTTATCCTAGCACCACACGGCCAGGTCTCTGACCTCCTCCCTATAGGCTGTCTCATTGTTGTCGGTGATCACTGTTGTGTCATCTGAAAACGTAATGATGGTGTTGGAGACGTGCCTAGCCCATGCAGTCATGGGTGAACAAGGAGTACAGGAGGGGACTGAGCATGCACCCCTGAGGGGCCCCCGTGTTGAGGATCAGCGTGGGAGACGTGTTGTTATCTACTCTTACCACCAGGGGATGGCCCGTCAGGAAGTCCAGGATCCAGTTGCAGAGGGAGGTGTTTAGACCCAGGGTCCTTAGTTTAGTGATGAGATTTGTGGGCACTATGGTGTTGAACCGCAATGAACAGCATTCTCACATAGGTGTTCCTTTTGTCCAGGTGGGAAAGGGCAGTGTGGTTGAGAATGCGTCGTCGGTGGATCTGTTGGGGCGGTATGCGAATTGGAGTGGGTTTAGGGTTTCTGGGATAATGGTGTTGATGTGAGCCATGACCAGCCTTTCAAAGCACTTCATGGCTACCGACGTTTGTGCTACGGGTCGGTAGTCATTTAGGCAGGTTATATTAGTGCTCTTGGGCACAGGGACTATGGTGGTCTGCTTGAAACATGTTGGTATTACAGACTCAGTGAAGGAGAGGTTGAAAATGTCAGTGAAAACACTTGCCAGATGGTCAGTATACGCTCAGAGTACACATCCTGGTAATCCATCTGGCCCTGAGGCCTTGTGAATTTTGACCTGCTTAGAAGTCTTACTCACATCGGCTACTGAGAGAGTGATCACATAGTAATCCTGAACAGCTGATGCTCTCATGCATGCTTCAGTGTTGCTTGCCTCGAAGCGAGCATAGAAGTGATTTAGCTCGTCTGGTAGGCTTGTGTCACTGGGCAGCTTGCGGCTTTGCTTCCCTTTGTAGTCCGTAATAGTTTGCAAGCCCTGCCACATCCGACGAGTGTCGGAGCCGGTGTAATACGATTCAATCTTAATTCTGTATTGACTCTTTGCCTGTTTGATGGTTTGTCGGCGGGCATAGCGGTATTTCTTATAAGAGTCCGGGTTAGAGTACCGCTCCTTGAAAGCGGCAGCTCTACCCTTTAGCTCAGTGCGGATGTTGCCTGTAATCCATGGCTTCTGGTTGGGCTATGTACGTGGTGACGACGTCATCGATGCACTTATTGATGAAGTAGTGACTGATGTGGTGTACTCCTCAATGCCATCGGAAGAATCCCGGAACATATTCCAGTCTGTGCTAGCAAAACAGTCCTGTAGCTTAGCATCTGCGTCATCAGACCACTTCCTTAATAACCGAGTCACTGGTGCTTCTTGCTTTAGTTTTTGCTTACAAGCAGGAATCAGGAGGATATAATTATGGTCAGAATTGCCAAATGGAGGGTGAGGGGGTGCTTTGTACGTGTCTCTGTGTGTGGAGTAAAGGTGGTCTAGAGTTTTTCTTTTTTTCTTTGGTTGCACATTTAACATGCTTGTAGAAATTAGGTAGGACGGATTTAAGTTTCCTTGCATTAAAGTCCCCGGCCACTAGGAGCGCTGCCTCTGGATGAGCATTTTCCTGTTTGCTTACGGCATTATACAGCTCATTGAGTGCAATCTTAGTGCCAGCATCGGTTTGTGGTGGTAAATAGACAGCTACGAAAAATATAGATGAAAACTCTCTTGGTAAATAGTGTGGTCTACAGCTTATCATGAGATACTCTATCGCGAGCAAAACCTCGAGACTTCATTAGTATTAGATTTTATACACCAGCTGTTGTTTACAAATATACACAGACCGCCACCCCTTGTCTTACCGGAGTCAGCTGTTCTATCCTGCCAATGTAGCATATATCCCGCCAGCTGTATGTTATCCATGTCATTGTTCAGCCACGACTCAGTGAAACATAAGATATTACAGTTTTTAATGTACCTTTGGTAGGATATCCTTGATATTAGGTCATCCATTTTGTTTTCAAATGATTATACGTTGGCTAATAGGATTGATGGAAGAGGCAGATTACTCAGTTGCTGTCGGATCCTTACAAGACACCCTGACCTACGTCCATGATATCTCTGTCTCTTTCTCATGCGAATGACAGGGATTTGGGCCTTGTCGGGTGCCTGTAGAATATCCTTTGCGTCCGACTCGTTGATGAAAAAATCTTCATCCAATACGAGGTGAGCAATCGCTGTCCTGATATCCAGAATACCTTTTTGGTCATAAGAGACAGTGGCAGAAACATTATTTACAGAATAAATTACAAATAAGGCAAAAAAACACACATAATCGCACAATTGGTTAGAGGGCCGTAAAACGGCAGTCATCTCCTCCGGCGCCATCTTATAGGGCTTTAGCTATGTTTTCCTGGATATCCTTCAGCTGTTCGTTGCTCTTTGTCGGGCTTGTGCGGTGAAGGAGATCTTCGTGGGCTATACTCAGCCTTGTCTCAGGGTAGTAAGTTGGTGGTCTGTTGATATCCCTCTAGTGGTGTGGGGGCTGTGCTTTGGTAAAGTGGGAGGGGTTATATCCTTCCTGGTTGGCCCTGTCCAGGGGGTATTGTCGGACGGGACAACATTGTCCCCCGACCCCCCCCTCTCAGCCTCCAGTATCCATGCTGCAAAAGTCTATGTGCGGGGTGGCTAGGGTCAGTCTGTTATATCTGTTGTAATTCTCCTGTCTTATCTGGTGTTCTGTGTGAATTTAAGTATGCTCCCTCTAATTATTCTCTCCCTCCTCTCCCGGAGGACCTGAGCCCTAGGACAATGCCTCAGGACTACCTGTCCTGATGACTCCTGCCTGTCCCCAGTCCACCTGGTCGTGCTGCTGTTCCAGTTTCAACTGTTCTGCCAGCGGCTTGAAAACCTGACCTGTTCACCAGACGTGCTACCTTGTCCCGGACCTGCTGTTTTCGACTCTCTCTCTCTCTCTACCGCACCTTGCTGTCTCCACCTCTGAATGCTTGGCTATGAAAAGCCAACTGACATTTACACCTGAGGTACTGACCTGTTGTACCCTCCACAACCACTGTGATTATTATTTGACCCTGCTTATCATCTTTGAACATTTGAACATCTTGAAGAACAATCTGGCCTTAATGGCCATGTACTTTTATAATCTCCACCCCTCAGAGCCTGGTTCCGCTCTAGGTTTCTGCCTAGTTTTTCCTAGCCACTGTGCTTCTACATCTACATAGCTTGCTGTTTGGGGTTTTATGCTGGGTTTCTGTATAACACTTTGTGACATCTGCTGATGTAAAAAGTTCTTTATATTTTTGATTTTACAAAGGGTTGTTTGGTTCGAGTCGCAGCGTTGCTTTATCCACAGATTGGTTCGCTGTTTGGTATAACTGACTGGTAACTTACTGCTCACTCTCTCCCGGTTGCTTGGTATTATATTGATCTATCGATTTCATAGGCTTAATTTAAACTATGTTGTCTGGCTTCTACATACAGTATAATCACTGTTTATTAACGGTACAAAACGGAGTTACTCCCTCCCCATGCATCCTATCAGTACGCCCATGCACCTCCTTCTCTGCCCCTGCACAATGTTATCAATGGACGTCTGTCCAAAGTAGGTTAATTACTTTGGGATGTGAACTTTTTTGACAAGCGTTTAGGAACATGTCATGACTTGCCTCCGCTGCAGGTAATTATACAACTGTGTTCTTCTCTCGAATCTCATTAGAAATAATGTGGAGGGCGAATAAATTATATAGTAAAACCTGCAAATGGTGAATATAAACCAGGGAAAAAAAACACACCACACCCTCTCAAGCAAAATAAAAGTTAGACAACCCTATATTTTGGTTCCAGTTTATTGAGGCAGCTTGTGTTAATGTCAGAAAGTACTGAGTTACAGTAGTCTAGTTGGGAGGAGATTAATGCATGAATGAGGGTTTTTGCGCCTGGATGGGAGAGGGAGGACCTGACTCTGGAGATGTTGAGGAGGTGGAAGCATGAGGTTTTGACAGTCAGTTGAAGGAGAGGGTGGAATCCAGGATGACTCCATGGTTGCATGCGTGGGGGGAAGGAGAGACAATGGTGTCGTCGATGGTGAGGGTGTCAACTTTGAGTGTGGATTTGGTACCTTGTCTGCAGAAACAAATGGACGGACAAACAAGCAGCAGACAGTTTGTAGTAGATGGTGGCAGATTGTGGTAAATTGCTGTCATTACACAAATCATTCTGTCATTACACCACACTTTCACAAGGGGGAACACTTATCTATCGGTAGTCTAAACTGTGGCACAAATTGGTCCTGCTTCAGGCAAAAAAAATCAGAATGGTGGGTGGTCCTGGAGTTGCGTGACTCACACATTCCTGGCTTTGGATCAAAATAAATAAGTACCAACATTATTTCTGATTGTCTTTAATAAAGAAATGTTTTGACCAAGTTAATCTGCTCATACTGTGTGTGTGTATGTGTGTGTGTGTGTTCAATTATTTGTGACATTGCGGTTACATTGAAGAATGTAAACAAAATAAATCAAATAAATCCTATTCATAATGAATAATCAGATGCGTGTTGCAAACTTGTCAGTTTTCATATTTTTGTTAAAAAGATATAAATAAAATAGACAATACAAAAAATACACATAAAAACGACAACTACATCACACCTGCCCAGACCCACATGCTCACACCCCCATCTCCAGCGCCTGCATCGCTCTTCGCCACATGGCCTCAAACTGTACCATTTTGTTTCTCTCAGTCGCCCATGCACTTTCAACATTTGGACAATAAAGCATTTAAAGGCTGACATTGGTTGATTTTCAGTTAAGTATACATTTTTTCAAGATGATTGACGAGAAAAGTATCATCCAACCCATAGGGTATCTCACTGAACCCTTATACAGTGGGGAAAAAAAGTATTTAGTCAGGCACCAATTGTGCAAGTTCTCCCACTTAAAAAGATGAGAGAGGCCTGCAATTTTCATCATAGGTACACGCCAACTATGACAGACAAAATGAGGAAAAATTTTCCAGAAAATCACATTGTAGAATTTTTAATGAATTTATTTGCAAATTATGGTGGAAAATAAGTATTTGGTCAATAACAAAAGTTTCTCAATACTTTGTTATATACCCTTTGTTGGCAATGACACAGGTCAAACATTTTCTGTAAGTCTTCACAAGGTTTTCACACACTGTTGCTGGTATTTTGGCCCATTCCTCCATGCAGATCTCCTCTAGAGCAGTGATGTTTTGGGGCTGTCGCTGGGCAACACGGACTTTCAACTCCCTCCAAAGATTTTCTATGGGGTTGAGATCTGGAGACTGGCTAGGCCACTCCAGGACCTTGAAATGCTTCTTACGAAGCCACTCCTTCGTTGCCCGGGCGGTGTGTTTGGGATCATTGTCATGCTGAAAGACTCAGCCACGATTCATCTTCAATGCCCTTGCTGATGGAAGGAGGTTTTCACTCAAAATCTCACGATACATGGCCCTATTCATTCTTTCCTTTACACGGATCAGTCGTCCTGGTCCCTTTGCAGAAAAACAGCTCCAAAGCATGATGTTTCCACCCCCATGCTTCACAGTAGGTATGGTGTATTCTTTGGATGCAACTCAGCATTCTTTGTCCTCCAAACACGACGAGTTGAGTTTTTACCAAAAAGTTATATTTTGGTTTCATCTGACCATATGACATTCTCCCCAATCCTCTTCTGGATCATCCAAATGCACTCTAGCAAACTTCAGACGGGCCTGGACATGTACTGGCTTAAGCAGGGGGACACGTCTCGCACTGCAGGATTTGAGTCCCTGGCGGCATAGTGTGTTACTGATGGTAGGCTTTGTTACTTTGGTCCCAGCTCTCATTCACTAGGTCCCCCCGTGTGGTTCTGGGATTTTTGCTCACCGTTCTTGTGATCATTTTGACCCCACGGGGTGAGATCTTGCGTGGAGCCCCAGATCGAGGGAGATTATTAGTGGTCTTGTATGTCTTCCATTTCCTAATAATTGCTCCCACAGTTGATTTCTTCAAACCAAGCTGCTTACCTATTACAGATTCAGTCTTCCCAGCCTGGTGCAGGTCTACAATTTTGTTTCTGGTGTCCTTTGACAGCTCTTTAGTCTTGGCCATAGTGGAGTTTGGAGTGTGACTGTTTGAGGTTGTGGACAGGTGTCTTTTATACTGATAACAAGTTCAAACAGGTGCCATTAATACAGGTAACGAGTGGAGGACAGAGGAGCCTCTTAAAGAAGAAGTTACAGGTCTGTGAGAGCCAGAAATCTTGCTTGTTTGTAGGTGACCAAATACTTATTTTCCACCATAATTTGCAAATAAATTCATTAAAAATCCTACAATGTGATTTTCTGGATTTTTTTTCCTCATTTTGTCTGTCATAGTTGACGTGTACCTATGATGAAAATTACAGGCCGCTCTCATCTTTTTAAGTGGGAGAACTTGCACAATTGGTAGCTGACTAAATACTTTTTTTCCCCACTGTATGTAATGTCTTGAAATATGCAGACAGACAGATTAAAAGTTAATTTCCATGGTAATACTTCTGACAGCCAACTTTCTAACGCCGCCCATAACTTTTGGACTTTATAACATTCCCAGAAGGCATGGATTATTATAACCTACTGAAAAATTAACCTGGCAATCTAATTAAATTTACTGCAGGCCTAAGACCTATGGGTTTAACCTTCTGAATAAATGATTATATTGAAGATAGAAGCCGCCTCTTAATGAGTTCCGAGAGCCAATCCGTTACCCAACAAAATAACACATTTATTTAGCCTAATTGTTTTTATCACTACAGACAGTAGGCTATTATTCCTCTTTTCATGCATTAATTAATTTGTCTGCATGTCTATTCAACATTTGGCTAAAAAGAAACCATGCCATGAATTAAGAACAATATATTTTTATTTTCAAAATGCAATGTGGCACATTGACAACTTAAATCGCTTTAAAGAGCATTCTAATATTAGACAACAAATAAATATACTAAAACTAACTTTAAAAACAGTACATTCATCACTGGATTTCTTAAAATTGCTGTGCAGGGAAAGGATATCATTCAACATGCCTGGTCGCAGGCTCGCAACTGGCTTCTCTCTGAAACCACAAATCCATCTGTAGGTGAAGCTTTATCCTTTGGAACCACACAATTACCAGGTGGACAGTAGGCCCCTTGAAGCGATAGAGGACATACACAAGATCCAGTATTCTTTCACAATAGCTGGCCTTATGTTATCTGCAGTTTTGAACTGCACTGTCCCACTCCGTGGTGGATAACACCCACTCTTGGTTTATGTAATGGGCTGTAAGGCAGAACTATTTTTTCGAAAACCATCAGTCCACATGTCAAATGTAATTGCGCCATTGTATTTACCCAAGTTCTCTCTCAACTCGGGACCGACTGCCAGCTGATTTTTTTTGCCCAACGCAGGACTCTAGTGCGAGAGAAGCGTAACTCTTGGACTGAAACATTCACACCTCCATTAATTTACAAAAAGATAGTGTAATAGCTTGGCTAGGTGTGAAAAATCCCCCAATGTGTGCCACAGTTTAGACTACCGATAGATGCTGCAGTCCTATTGTAAAGTATAGCTTAATGGCCAAAAAGTTGTACATTTCTAACTCAATATCCCAGACCTGATTTGCCTTAACGAAAAATGCATCAACCCCTACAAATATATAAATTTTTTATAATTCACATAATAATTCTAATGAAATGAGCTGTAGCGAGAGGAGAGAGACTGTATATGCTAAAGACAATCAGAAAGAATGTGTATTTAACCCTGCATTATAAAGTCACTCAGCCCTATGCTTATGTTCCTCCTTCTGTTGCCTGTTTGAGTATTTGTTTAATATCCTACTGATTCTGTGATCACCAAGCCTCATGCAACCTGCAAAATGTGAAATACGGTTGTTTTAAAGCTTTGCTGTACTGTATTAAAGGCTTTACAATTGTTTCTTCATTAAAACAGACTCTAAGGTATTACTTAATTTATTTAGTTTTGTTTACACTGTTCCAAAGGGGCAGAACAATTATATTGTTATCTAACAGCACCTGTTTGTCATGCAACAGTATCTCTTGTGCTTTTGACAAACATTTTACATGAGGCCTAATTCACATGATATGCCTAAAATACTTATATCCGCTAGGCTAATAAATAATCACCTTTTTCCTTTTGATTATTTAATTAACCTATATGATGTTATTTCAAGTTATCCCTTTGGAGCACATGCAAAAGCGATTTGGAATTTTTACATTTTACATTTACGTCATATAGCAGACGCTCTTATCCAGACCGACTTACAAATTGGTGCATTCACCTTATAGCCAGTGGGATAACCACTTTACAATATTTCCTTTTTTTTTGGGGGGGGGGGGGGGGGGGTAGAAGGATTACTTTATCCTATCCCAGGTATTCCTTAAAGAGGTGGGGTTTCAAGGGACTGATCAGAGCCTGAACGTACGGAGGTGCCGTTCCCCTCACAGCTCCGTAGGCAAGCACCATGGTCTTGTAGCAGATGCAAGCTTCAACTGGAAGCCAGTGGAGTGTGCGGAGGAGCGGGGAGAGAACTTGGGAAGGTTGAACACCAGACGGGCTGCGGCATTCTGGATGAGTTGTAGGGGTTTAATGGCACAGGCACGGAGCCCAGCCAACAGCGAGTTGCAGTAATCCAGACGGGAGATGACAAGTGCCTGGATCAGGACCTGTGCCGCTTCCTGTGTAAGGCAGGGTCGTACTCTCCGAATGTTGTAGAGCATGAACCTACAGGATCGGGTCACCGCCTTGATGTTAGCGGAGAACGACAGGGTGTTGTCCAGGGTCACGCCAAGGCTCTTCGCACTCTGGGAGGAGGACACAACGGAGTTGTCAACCGTGATGGCGAGATCATGGAACGGGCAGTCCTTCCCCGGGAGGAAGAGTAGCTCTGTCTTGCCGAGGTTCAGCTTGAGGTGGTGATCCGTCATCCACACTGATATTTCTGCCAGACATAAAGAGATGCGATTCGCCACCTGGTTATCAGAAGGGGGAAAGAGTTGTTGAATGGGAGTGACAAAATGAATTGCATTTGAATGAATTGAATTGATGAGGATGAAGAAGAACAGGGTGATTGAATTTAGAACAACAGTGTAAGAATTGCTCTTCCTCTGTCCTGCGCACACACTCTTTGTCAGAAGAAACTGTACTGGACTGTAGCCTATTACTTAATAAACCTGTTACACTGTAAGGTTTTTATTCTAAGAGAAACGAAAATGTTCTGTTATATTCCATTATATTCTTAAAATATATATGTGATGTCTGCTAAATTAACAAGTTGATGGCGAAGCCACAAAGCCTTGGCTACTAAGCACAGATAAATAAAACAAAACAAAATGTGTGTGTCACATATTTTCAAGACCTGAGCTATTTAATGTATGTGTTTTATTTATTAAATGTACTTGTGGAATGTTACCGAATATATAATAATAATATAATAATATGCCATTTAGCAGATGCTTTTATCCAAAGCGACTTGGGTGGTATGTAACAACAATAGAAAGAAGCATCTGGTGACATTGGTAGAGAGTCAGGCAGAATGAAGTGAAAGTGCACTGTACTGTAAGTACGCAACAAGGCTGTGGGCCAGGTGGAAATGATTTAGCAGCCTTTCCAATAAATTGAAATGCAAAAGCTGCCATCCACTCTTGATGGGCTATCAGCAGGACAATAGACTCTTGCCGAGTTTAGGGACTTTAAATGTATTAGTTTGCGAGGCATGTTACTTCACCGATCTCTTTGCATAGCCCACCACATGCATTGTTTTCTAACCACATCTGGATGGTTCCATAATGAATTAATATGAATAAATATCACTGAATGACAGAAGGATTGGAATAATGTAGGCTAATGCAATTGAAGGCAACAAATTGTTGCTTACTGAAACACCCAGTCATCCAATTGTTATAATAGGATTTGAAGCAATAGCCTACCCTGTGTGGTCAACTATTTCAGCACTGTTTCGCACTTATTTTCACTGAATCTCCGTTTGGATATTTGTATTTGTATTTATTATGGATCCCCATTGGCTGCTGCCGAGGCAGCAGCTACTCTTCCTGTGGTCTAGCAAAATTAAGGCTGTTATACATTTTAAAAACATGACAATACTTTCAGACAGATTTCACAACATATTAAGTGTGTGCCCTCAGGCCTCTACTCTACTACCACATATCTATAACACAAAATTCATGTGTACATGTGTGTATGTTATTGTGTGTTTGCATGCATGTGTCTATGTTTGTGTTGCTTCACAGTTTCCGCTGTTCCACAAGGTGTATTTATATCTGTTTTTTAAATCTAATTTTACTGCTGGCTTGTTACTTGATGTGGAATAGAGTTCAATGTAGTCATGGCTCTATGTAGTACTGTGCGCCTCCCATAGTCTGTTCTTGATTTGAGGACTGTGAAGAGACCTCTGGTGGCATGTCTTGTGGGGTATGCATGGGTGTCCGAGCTGTGTGCCAGTAGGATTGTGGTTAGCCTACAATTAGGCTGTGGAACTGTTAGGATTATTTTGCTCTTTACTCGCTGTCGCTTAGTAGCCTAGGCCTACTCCCAAACTGTCACGTTGTACAGCGCCATATATTCCTAACGGAAACCCTGAGGCCTACATAGGCTACTGTAAAATGCATTTTAGTTTTTCTTGGAATAGAAACACCACAATATTAATCAATTTAATTCAGCTACATTTCTAATAGCATAAACAGCACAACACATTTTGTATTTATTTTTATTTTTATTTAACATTTATTTAACCAGGAAGGGCTCATTGAGATTTTAAATCTCTTTTTCAAGAGCGTCCTGGCCAAGATGGGCACCACCAAGTCATTACACAGTTACAGACAGACAACATGAAGAACTACAAATAATCTAGTAAACATCCATAGAAATCACAGGAGTATAACAAAATCATAAAACAGCAATTTAAAAACATTGACAGGTCAAGGAATCAATGATTTAAAAACCCCAATCTGGACAAGTTCTTCCAGTTTAAAAGTATGTTGTAAGGCGTTCCAAGCCGATGGCACAGAGTACATAAAATACCTTTTATCAAATTCAGTTTGTACATTTGCAACAGTTAGCAGGATAAAGTCCCGCGAACGAAGGGAGTACCAACCACATAACATTTTTGTTTAAAGCCCAGATAAAATGGTAGTAAACCCAAAAAGTATACCAGTGATTGAGTCTACGAGTGACTAGAGAAGGCCAGCCAACCCTGGTATATAAAGTGCAATGGTGCGTAAGGGTTTTGCAGTTAAAAATAAATCTCAATGCTCCATGATAAAGGGTGTCAATTGATCACACACACTGAGCAGAAGCATTCATATATAACATATCTCCATAGTCTAGTATAGGCATACATGTAGCTGATACAAGACTCCTTCTGGCTTCAAAAGAAAAACAGGCCTTATTCCTAAAATAAAATCCAACTTCAGCTTCAATTTTTGGTAAATTGTTGAATATGCAATTTAAAAGAGAGGCTGTCATCAATTACAATTCTAAGATATTTATATGAGGTTACAACCTCAATCTCATTGCCCTGACAGAGGTCTATTTATTGCTTTAGAAAACACCATTAGTTTGGTTTTGTCAGCATTGAGGATAAGCTTCAATTGACACAAGGTATGTTGAACAGTATAAAAAGCAGTTTGCAAGTTCTGGAAAGCTTTTGTGAGAGACAAGGCACAACAATAAATAACAGTATCATCAGCATAAAAGTGAAGTTGCGCATTTTGCACATTTTTGTCTAAATTATTTATATAAATAGTGAATAAGAGGGGACCAAGTCAAGAGCCCTGGGACACACCATTACAGACAGACAATTTAGCAAACATGAGCCCATCAAATTGAGTGCACTGAGTTCTATTAGACAGATAGTTAGCAAACCATGCAACTGCATGCTCCGAAAGACCTACGCTCGACAATCTCTGCCTCAGTATAGCATGATCAACTGTATCAAAAGTCTTAGAGAGATCAATAAAAAGTGGGAGACACAATAATAATTTACAAACAAATTATAATCAATTACATATAGTCTATTCAAACAAAAAAGGTTTAAGTCTCTAGTACAGGCAATATTCAAAACAGTCAATTCCATTCGTGAATTCAATCGCTTTAGTTGACGTTGCGATTTATTCATTATTAAATTTTTCAAGGCTCCCTTTGTTATTTCATTTTATAACTAAAATGCTTGACTAAATTTAAAGACATGGATGACTTGTATGCTGTGTGATTACATGCACAAATCAATTAATGATTGATTGATATACTGTATACTGATGTAGGCCTTTATGCCAATAAGTAGGTTACATTAAAACAGCTACAGTAAACAGGACTCTTAGGCCTACAGCTCAATGTCATTTCAATAACTTAATTTCAATAAAAACCTTGAACCCACCTGTCCCTGACTTTCCTAAATATGTGTATTTTACACTATCACTAGGCCTCCATTGAGAAAATACAGTGGGGAGAACAAGTATTTGATACACTGCCGAATTTGCAGGTTTTCCTACTTACAAAGCATGTAGAGGTCTGTAGTTTTTATCATAGGTACACTTCAACTGTGAGAGACGGAATCTAAAACAAAAATCCAGAAAATCACATTGTATGATTTTTAAGTAATTAATTTGCATTTTATTGCATGACACAAGTATTTGATCACCTACCAACCAGTAAAAATTCAGGCTCTCACAGACCTGTTAGATTTTCTTTAAGAAGCCCTCCTGTTCTCCACTCATTACCTGTATTAACTGCACCTGTTTGAACTCGTTACCTGTATAAAAGATACCTGTCCACACACTCAATCAAACAAACTCCAACCTCTCCACAATGGCCAAGACCAGAGAGCTGTGTAAGGACATCAGGGATAAAATTGTAGACCTGCACAAGGCTGGGATGGGCTACAGGACAATAGGCAAGCAGCTTGGTGAGAAGGCAACAACTGTTGGCGCAATTATTAGAAAATGGAAGAAGTTCAAGATGACGGTCAATCACCCTCGGTCTGGGGCTCCATGCAAGATCTCACCTCGTGGGGCATCAATGATCATGAGGAAGGTGAGGGATCAGCCCAGAACTACAAGGCAGGACCTGGTCAATGACCTGAAGAGAGCTGGGACCACAGTCGCAAAGAAAACCATTAGTAACACACTACGCCATCATGGATTAAAATCCTGCAGCGCACGCAAGGTCCCCCTGCTCAAGCTAGCGCATGTCCAGGCCCATCTGAAGTTTGCCAATGACCATCTGGATGATCCAGAGGAGGAATGGGAGAAGGTCATGTGGTCTGATGAGACAAAAATAGAGCTTTTTGGTCTAAACTCCACTCGCCGTGTTTGGAGGAAGAAGAAGGATGAGTACAACCCCAAGAACACCATCCCAACCGTGAAGCATGGAGGTGAAAACATAATTCTTTGGGGATGCTTTTCTGCAAAGGGGACAGGACGACTGCACCGTATTGAGGGGAGGATGGATGGGGCCATGTATCGCGAGATCTTGGCCAACTCCTTCCCTCAGTAAGAGCATTGAAGAAGGGTCGTGGCTGGGTCTTCCAGCATGACAACGACCCGAAACACACAGCCAGGGCAACTAAGGAGTGGCTCCGTAAGAAGCATCTCAAGGTCCTGGAGTGGCCTAGGTAGTCTCCAGACCTGAACCCAATAGAAAATCTTTGGAGGGAGCTGAAAGTCTGTATTGCCCAGCGACAGCCCCGAAACCTGAAGGATCTGGAGAAGGTCTGTGTGGAGGAGTGGGCCAAAATCCCTGCTGCAGTGTGTGCAAACCTGGTCAAGACCTACAGGAAACGTATGATCTCTGTAATTGCAAACAAAGGTTTCTGTACCAAATATTAAGTTCTGCTTTTCTGATGTATCAAATACTTATGTCATGCAATAAAATGCAAATTAATTACTTAAAAATCATACAATGTGATTTTCTGGATTTTTGAAGTTGAAGTGTACCTATGATAAAAATTACAGACCTCTACATGCTTTGTAAGTAGGAAAACCTGCAAAATCGGCAGTATATCAAATACTTGTTCTCCCCACTGTATCATAAAAGACTACAACTTTCTGAGCATGCCAATTAAATTAACTTGTTCATTTAGCAGACATAATATGTTTATATTCTCTAGCTCTTTGGAATATAACAGATTACAATAGAAAGGATATTTTCCCCAAATTGGTATTTGCTGATTGTCATCAGTAGGCATGGAGCTGTCACACCCTGATCAGTTTCAACTGTCCTGTGCTTGTCTCCACCCCCCACCAGGTGTCTCCCATTTGCCCGCATTATCTCCTGTGTATTTAGACCTGCGTTTTCTGTTTGTCTGTTGCCAGTTCGTCTTTACCCATCAAGTTCTACCAGCATGTTCTACCGAGACCTACCGATTGCCTGCCGTCCTGTACCTGCCTGACTCTGATTTGGATTACGACTCTTTGCCTGCCTGGACTTAACTTTTGCCTGCCCCTTGTTATGTAATAAACTCTGAGACTCGTACTATCCGCCTCCTGTGTCTGCATCTGTGTCTTAGCCTGAGCCTTGATAGGCACTGTGGTTATTCTAGGAAAACATTATATTTTGAAAGAGATACCGTCTATTAAACATTTTCTGTTTGGAAAAACTAAGTTCATTAAAAAACTTGCAATATGCTCTTTCGGATAGGATATAGCAATCAAAACGTCTGGCCTGCAGGATTATTTGGAAAAGTAAGCAAGCACCAACAACCTTCATACAGACACCCTCAAAGATGCCCTCTGGTGGTCAAACTAGCATTAATGGCAACAATGGCTGACAGTAAAATACTATGACGTCATGCATTCCAGCATGCCATAACATTCCGCAGCATCCCGCAAGCTGTGCTGCAGTATGACGCAACTTTTAAATGAGGGCCCACTGTATATGAGATGGAAGGGAGTTCCATGCAATCATGGCTGGTGAGGCCAGTGCTGTGCGTAAGTTGACTATGCAAACAATTTGGAATTTCCAACACATTAATGTTTCTAATAAAATAAAAATGATACAGTCAGTCTTTCCTCAACTCTTAGGCAAGAGAGTCTGGCATGCATAGTATTTATATTATCCCTCTGATTACAATGAAGAGCAAAACATGCCGCTCTGTTCTGGGCCAGCTGCAGCTTAACTAGGTCCTCCTTTGCAGCACTTGACCAAATGACTGGACAATAATCAAGATAAGATAAAACTAGAGCATGCAGGACTTGCTTTGTGCAGTGTGGTGTCAGAAACAGCATAGCATCGCTTTATCACAGACAGACGTCTCCCCATCTTTAAAACCATTAAATCTACACTACCAGTCAAAAGTTTGGACACACCTACTCATTCAAGGGTTTTTCTTTATTTTCACTATTTTCTACATTGTATAATAATAGTGAAGGCATCATAGGTATGAAATAACACATATGGAATCATGTAGTAACCATAAAAGTGTTAAACAAATCAAAATATATTTTATATTTGAGATTCTTCAAATAGCCACCCTTTGCCTTGATGACAAATTTGCACACTCTTGGCATTCTCTCAACCAGCTTCATGAGGTATTCACCTGGAATGCATTTCAATTAACAGGTGTGCCTTCTTAAAAGTTAATTTGTGGAATTGATTTCCTTCTTAAGGCGTTTGAGCCAATCAGTTGTGTTGTCAACAGGACAATGACACAACACACCTCCAGGCTGTTGTGGCCTCCACAATCCCCTGTTCTCAACTCAATTGAGATGGTTTGGGATGAGTCGGAAGGAAGAGTGAAGGAAAAGCAGCCAACAATTGCTCATCATATGTGGGAACTCCTTCAAGACTGTTGGAAAAGCATTCCAGGTGAAGCTGGTTGAGAGAATGCCAAGAGTGTGCAAGGCTGTCATCAAGGCAAAGGATGGCTATTTGAAGAATCTCAAATATAAAATACATTTAGATTTGTTTAACACTTTTTTGGTTACTACATGATGTGTTATTTCATCGTTTTGATGTCTTCACTATTATTATACCGTGTAAAAACTAGTAAAATAAAATAAAAAATAAAAGCTTGAATGAGTAGGTGTGCCCAACCTTTTGACTGGTACTGTATCTTAAGAAGTAAAATTATTTTTTGTTCTTACATATAGTGATAAAAGGAGGGAGTGTAGTGGACATGTTAGTGTCCTCTGTGTCTCTGCAAATGCGTGACTACATGTAGCATGTTGTTTCCTGATTATTGTATAAGGATGTTCTGTGACTTTGCTCTCAAGGAGTCGACTGATAGAAGAACATAAGAAAGAAGGGAACACATTGTTACTTTGGCCCAACGCCTACAAACTATGTGTGCAAGGTCATTATCAGCTTATTGCACCCTGAGAGCAGAGACACCTAGTTTGAGTATTGAGTTTGTTGTAACCTCTCCGGCCGATATCAATAAAGATCAGTTCATTTAACTTTGACTTGGAGTCCTTAGTGCTAATTTCCATGACACCACCATACAACAATATTACAATGTAAGTGTGTGTAGATTTGCGTGTGCTAGAGTGTGTCTGTACCTGTGGGCATGGTTGTCTCTTCACAGTTGTTACATAAGATGTTTTCTTATCTGTTTAAAAAAAAATCTGATTCTACTGCTTGCATCAGTTACCTGATGTGGAATAGAGTTCCATGTAGTCATGGCTCTATGTAGTACTATGCGCCTCCCATAGTCTGTTCTGGATTTGGGCACTGTGAAGAGACCACTGGTGGCATGTCTTGTGGGGTATGCATGGGTGTCCGAGCTATGTGCCAGTAGTTCAAACAGACAGCTCGGTGCATTCAAAATGTCAATACCTCTCACAAATACAAGTAGATATGAAGCCAATCTCTCCTCCACTTTGAGCCAGGAGATATTGACATGCGTATTATTAATGTTACCGTTCTGTGAACATAACCAAGATGGCATAGCAGTGCGGTCGTGTACTCTGTAGTGTGTCCGTGTAAATAGTCTGTTTTTTGTTTTTTGTCTCTTTCGTATATCTTTCTCAATCACACTTTTCATCCTTCAACAAAATATACTTTCCTGCAACCCTCCTCACCCAATGTGGAACGGATTCTATTATTTATTTTACCTTTTTATCCAGAACCTCCGTTTGAAACTAGCCAGCTAGCCAGCTAACTAGCTAACTAGCTACTTGCTATTAGCCACCGTTAGCGGTTTTCACCATTGTCCGTGGCCTGCACTACCTACCAGCCAGCTCTAGCCTGGACTATTATCGGCCAGTCTGCACTGTCTGCATAGCGCGCTATCGACCAAGAACATATCGGATTTTCTGCCAGAATCACTGAATCACTGGACCTTAACACCGGATCATTGCAACTAGCTAGCAGCAACCAAATGGATGTTGTTGGCTAATCACCACCGCCCCCGAAGCAAGCGCCAGTTAGCCTTGAGCTAGCCTCGAGCCAGGCCCATCTCCCGGCTATCTACCTCTCTGTCAACCGGACGGGACCTCCTAGTGTCGACACGGAGCCCCGCTGATCCATCAGACTGGTCTGCCGACGTAATCGTCTGATGTGGTTTCAATAGGCTTCCCGTTGCAACGACCACAAAGATCCATCTGCTAGCCCCGGCACGCTAGCACACGCGATCAACAGCCGTGCTTCCTGCTCGCATGTGCTGTAGCAGCCATTCGAACTGCTCCCGGACTCACCTATTACTGTTCACTGGACCTTATGATCACTCAGCTGCAAAGCTGATGCCTGCTGGACTGTTCCTTTACACGGTACCCCCATCCTGTTTATCTGTCCTGTTTATCTGTTTAGCCTCAGCCCAAACTTTCGTCGCCATTACCAGTTGTTGTCTTAGATCTCAATGTAACACCTGTGATTGCTTTATGCCTCTCTCCCATGTCAATATGCCTTGCCTATTGCTGTTCCGGTTAGTTCTTATTATACAATTTCACTGTAGAGCCCCCAGTCCCGCTCAACCAGCCTCAGAGAGCTCCTTTGTCCCACCCCCCATACACGTGGACACCGGCTCAATCGGTGCCTCCAGTGATGCTATCTCTTTCATTGTTACCCAACGCTTAGATTTACCTCCACTGTACTCATATCCTTCCATATCTATTCTACAATGCCCGGAAATCTGCCCCTTTTATTCTCTGTACCCAACGCACTAGAAGACAAGTTCTTAAAGCCTTTAGCCGTATCCTTATTCTACTCCTCCTCTGTTCCTCTGGTGATGCAGAGGTTAACCCAGGCCCTGTAGCCCCCAGTATCACGCCTACTCCTCAGGCGCTATCATTTGTTGACTTCAGTAACAGGAAAAGCCTTGGTTTTTTGCATGTTAACATCAGAAGCCTCCTCCCTAAGTTTGAGTTACTCACTGCATTAGCACACTCCGCCAACCCTGAAGTTCTAGCAGTGTCTGAATCCTGGCTTAGGAAGACCACCAAAAACTCTGATATTTCCATCCCCAACTACAACATTTTCCGTCTAGATAGAACTGCCAAAGGGGGCGGAGTTGCAGTCTACTGTAGAAATAGTCTGCAGAGCTCTATCATACCATCCAGGTCTGTGCCCAAACAGTTTGAGCTTCTACTTCTAAAAATCCACCTCTCCAGAAGTCTATCACTGTTGCCACTTGCTACAGACCCCCCTCAGCCCCCAGCTGTGCCCTGGTCATCATATGTGAATTGGCCTAGACAGCTGCCTTGGGAAATTCTGATTCTACCTGGATTATGTTGGAGATACTTCAATTAAAGAACACCCTCTGTGTTCTGTTAGACAGGTAACTATTTTTCCACAATATAGCAGGTGATGTACAGTGAGGGAAAAAAGTATTTGATCCCCTGCTGATTTTGTACGTTTGCCCACTGACAAAGAAATTATCAGTCTATAATTTTAATGGTAGGTTTATCTGAACAGTGAGCGACAGAATAACAACAAAAAAATCCAGAAAAAAACGCATGTCAAAAATGTTATACATTGATTTGCATTTTAATGAGGGAAATAAGTATTTGACCCCCTCTCAATTAGAAAGATTTCTGGCTCCAAGGTGTCTTTTATACAGGTAACGAGCTGAGATTAGGAGAACACTCTTAAAGGGAGTGCTCCTAATCTCAGCTTGTTACCTGTATAAAAGACACCTGTTCACAGAAGCAATCAATCAATCAGATTCCAAACTCTCCACCATGGCCAAGACCAAAGAGCTCTCCAAGGATGTCAGGGACAAGATTGTAGACCTACACAAGGCTGGAATGGGCTACAAGACCATCGTCAAGCAGCTTGGTGAGAAGGTGACAACAGTTGGTGCAATTATTCGCAAATGGAAGAAACACAAAATAACTGTCAATCTCCCTCGGCCTCCATGCAAGATCTCACCAGGTGGAGTTGCAATGATCATGAGAACGGTGAGGAATCAGCCGAGAACTACACGGGAGGATCTTGTCAATTATCTCAAGGCAGCTGGGACAATAGTCACCAAGAAAACAATTGGTAACACACTACGCCGTGAAGGACTGAAATCCTGCAGCGCCCGCAAGGTCCCCCTGCTCAAGAAAGCACATATACAGGGCCGTCTGAAGTTTAACAATGAACATCTGAATGATTCAGAGGAGAACTGGATGAAAGTGTTGTGGTCAGATGAGACCAAAATCGAGCTCTTTGGCATCAACTCAACTCGCCGTGTCTGGAGGAGGAGGAATGCTGCCTATGACCCCAAGAACACCATCGCCTCCGTCAAACATGGAGGTGGAAACATTATGCTTTGGGGGTGTTTTTCTGCTAAGGGGACAGGACAACTTCACCGCATCAAAAGGACGATGGACGGGGCCATGTACCATCAAATCTTGGGTGAGAACCTCCTTCCCTCAGCCAGGGCATTGAAAATGGGTCGTGGATGGGTATTCCAGCATGACAATGACCCAAAACACATGGCCAAGGCAACAAAGGAGTGGCTCAAGAAGAAGCACATTAAGGTCCTGGAGTGGCCTAGCCAGTCTCCAGACCTTAATCCCATAGAAAATATGTGGAAGGTGTGAAGGTTCGAGTTGCCAAACGTCAGCCTCGAAACCTTATTAACTTGGAGAAGATCTGCAAAGAGGAGTGGGACAAAATCCCTCCTGAGATGTTTGCAAACCTGGTGGCCAACTACAAGAAACGTCTGACCTCTGTGATTGCCAACAATAGTTTTGCCACCAAGTACTAAGTCATGTTTTGCAGAGGGGTCAAATACTTATTTCCCTCATTAACATGCAAATCAATTTATAACATTTTTGACATGCGTTTTTCTGGATTTTTTTGTTGTTATTCTGTCTCTCACTGTTCAAATAAACCTACCATTAAAATTATAGACTGATCATGTCTTTGTCATTGGACAAACGTACAAAATCAGCAGGGGATCAAATACTTTTTTCCCTCACTGTAAAGCTATAACACATACAGTCGGGAAAAAAAGTATTTAGTCAGCCACCAATTGTGCAAGTTCTCCCACTTAAAAAGATGAGAGAGGCCTGTAATTTTCATCATAGGTACACGTCAACTATGACAGACAAAATGAGGGAAAAAAATCCAGAAAATCACATTGTAGGATTTTCTATGAATGTATTTGCAAATTATGGTGGAAAATAAGTATTTGGTCAATAACAAAAGTTTTTCAATACTTTGTTATATACCCTTTGTTGGCAATGACACAGGTCAAATGTTTTCTGTAAGTCTTCACAAGGTTTTCACACACTGTTGCTGGTATTTTGGCCCATTCATCCATGCAGATCTCCTCTATAGCAGTGATGTTTTGGGGCTGTCGCTGGGCAACACGGACTTTCAACTCCCTCCAAAGATTTTCTATGGGGTTGAGATCTGGAGACTGGCTAGGCCACTCCAGGACCTTGAAATGCTTCTTACGAAGCCACTCCTTCGTTGCCCGGGCGGTGTGTTTGGGATCATTGTCATGCTGAAAGACCCAGCGACATTTCATCTTCAATGCCCTTGCTGATGGAAGGAGGTTTTCACTCAAAATCTCACGATACATGGCCCCATTCATTCTTTCCTTTACACAGATCAGTCGTCCTGGTCCCTTTGCAGAAAAACAGCCCCAAAGCATAATGTTTCCACACCCATGCTTCACAGTAGGTATGGTGTTCTTTGGATGCAACTCAGCATTCTTTGTCCTCCAAACACGACGAGTTGAGTTTTTACCAAAAAGTTATATTTTGGTTTCATCTGACCATATGACATTCTCCCAATCCTCTTCTGGATCATCCAAATGCACTCTAGCAAACTTCAGATGGGCCTGGACATGTACTGGCTTAAGCAGGGGGACACGTCTGGCACTGCAGGATTTGAGTCCCTGGCGGCGTAGTGTGTTACTGATGGTAGGCTTTGTTACTTTGGTCCCAGCTCTCTGCAGGTCATTCACTAGGTCCCCCGTGTGGTTCTGGGATTTTTGCTCACCGTTCTTGTGATCATTTTGACCCCATGGGGTGAGATCTTTCGTGGAGCCCCAGATCGAGGGAGATATCAATGGTCTTGTATGTTTTCCATTTCCTAATAATTGCTCCCACAGTTGATTTCTTCAAACCAAGCTGCTTACCTATTGCAGATTCAGTCTTCCCAGCCTGGTGCAGGTCTACAATTTTGTTTCTGGTGTCCTTTGACAGCTCTTGGCCATAGTGGAGTTTGGAGTGTAACTGTTTGAGGTTGTGGACAGGTGTCTTTTATACTGATAACAAGTTCAAACAGGTGCCATTAATACAGGTAACGAGTGGAGGAAAGAGGAGCCTCTTAAAGAAGAAGTTACAGGTCTGTGAGAGCCAGAAATCTTGCTTGTTTGTAGGTGACCAAATACTTATTTTCCACATAATTTGCAAATAAATTCATTAAAAATCCTACAATGTGATTTACTGGATTTTTTTTCTCAATTTGTCTTTCATAGTTGATGTGTACCTAAGATGAAAATTACAGGCCTCTCTCATCTTTTTAAGTGGGAGAACTTGCACAATTGGTGGCTGACTAAATACTTTTTTCACCACTGTACGTTTTTCCAGCAGCAGACTATGATCGATAATCTCAAAAGCTGCACTGAAGTCTAACAAAACTGTCCCCACAATCTTTTTGATATCAATTTCTCTCAGCAAATCATCAGTAAATTGTGTCAGTACTGTGCTTGTTGAATGTCCTTCCTTATAAGCATGCTGAAAGTCTGTTGTCAATCTGTTTACTGTAAAATAGCATTGTATCTGGTCAAAATAAAAATCTAAAACATTACTAAGGGTTGGTAACAGGCTGATTGGTCAGCTATTTGAGCCAGTAAAGGGCTTTACCATTCTTAGGTAGTGGAATTACTTTTGCTTCCCTCCAGGCCTGAGGGCATATACTTTCTAGTAGGTTTAAATTTAAGATATGGCAAATAGCAGTGGCAATATTGTTTGCTATTGTCCTCAGTAATTTTCCATCCAAGTTGTCACACCCCGGTGGCTTGTCATTGCTGATAGACAACAATACTTTTTTCACCTCTTCCACACTCACTTTACGGAATTCAAAATAACAATGCTTGTCTTTCATCATTTGGTCAGATATACTTGGATGTGTAGTGTTAGTGTTTGCTGCTGGCATGTCATGCCCAAGTTTGCTAATCTTGCCAAATAAAAAAGTATTAAAGTAGTTGGCAATATCAGTGGGTTTTGTGATGAATGAGCCATCGGATTCAATGAATGATAGAGCTGAGTTTGCCTTTTTGACCTAAATGTAATTTAAGGTGCTCCAAAGCTTTTTGCTATCATTCTTTATATCATTTATCTTTGTTTCATAGTATAGTTTCTTGTTTCTATTCAGTTTAGTCACATGATTTCTCAATTTGCAGTACGTTTGCCAATCGGTTGTGCTGCCAGACTTATTTGCAAACAGTATAACTCTGGTTCATAGGCACATGATACTGCATACAATAGCTGTTTGATCAGCAGAGGCATCCAGGGCAGTTAGAGTCCCCTGTAGCTCAGTCGGTAGAGCATGGCGCTTGCAACACCAGGGTTGTGGGTTCGTTTCCCACGGGGGGCCAGTATGAAAATGTATGCACTCACTAACTGTAAGTTGCTCTGGATAACAGTGTCTGCTAAAATGACTAAAATGTAAATATAATAAATTAAGTTAGTAACATTGTTTCTTCCAACGCCCCTGTGATAATGTACTTTTGCTGAAGCATTATGACAACTCAGCGACTCAATGGTAGGGATTAACTGAGCTGGGCTTGGGTCATTGATAAGTCCTTGTCTCAACGCAGCCTTATAATGCTGTGAAAGGATCCAGGAACCCAAACGATTTGGGTGGAACACATCCTCCTTGTAAAACGAGTTTTTTTTGCAGAAGGTATCAAAGTTGTCAAAAAATTTACACCCACAGAGCTGCAATAGTCAGTTATGGAGGGCTAAAAGTCTGCTGAAATGTTCAATGCCACGATTTAGGGAGGGCCAGATATTATGGAGCGTTTGTTGGTGTCAAGCAGTAACCCAATCAGTTCTTTAAAATCCGTCTTCAGCTGTTCTGAGCTGCCCTTCAAAATGTAATTGAATCACACATGAACCATGATAAACTCAATATCCTGATGCTGGTTTAAAATGTTTGGGAAAACCTAACACTGTAATAGAACAACCTTTCAAATAATGCCCACCTGACCCAGATTGCTATTGATAATGGACCGTTTCTGGGTTGCGTAAACAACAATAGTTATTGTGTGATGGGAGTGTGTTCCAAACTAGACAAATGCAAGGGTGCTTGCTCTAGTTCCTCAAAGGTACGGCTAAGAGAGCTAAAAATAAGTGACTTATAGTTGAATACTCTTCTGAGTCATAAAAGTGCATTGAAATTGCTTAGGAACTGTGGCCACTTGACGACACCAGTTAGTCCTCTCACTCAAGCCCTTGTACACTGAACAAAAATAGAAACGCAACATGTAAATTGTTGATATCATGTTTCATGAGCTGAAATAAAATATCCCCAACATTTTCCACACGCACAAAGATTGTGTGCACAAATGTTTTACGGCCCTGTTAGTGAGCATGTCTCCTTTGCCAAGATAATCCATCCACCTGACAGGTGTGGAATATCAAGAAGCTGATTAAACAGCATAATCATTACACAGGTGCACATTGTGATGGGGACAATAAAAGGCCAATCTAAAATGTGCAGTTTTGTCACACAACACAATGACACAGATGTCTGATGTTTTGAGGGAGCATGCAATTGGCATGCTGACTGCAAGAATGTCCACCAGAGCTGTTGCCAGAGAATTTAATGTTCAGCCGGCCTCACAACCGCAGAGCATGTGTATTGTGTTATGTGGGTGAGCGGTTTACAAAGATAACAAAGACAATAGCATTTTATCGATGGCAATTTGAATGCACAGAGATACCGTGACGAGATCCTGAGGCCCATTGTCGTTCCATTCATCCGCCGCCATCACCTCATGTTTCAGCATGATAATGCAAGGCCCTATGTCAAAAGGATCTGTACACAATTCCCGGAAGCTGAAAATGTCCCAGTTCTTTTATGGCCTGCATAGTCACCAGACATGTCACCCGTTGAGCATGTTTGGGATGCTCTGGATTGACGTGTATGACAGCGTGTTCCAGTTCATGCCATAATCCAGCAACTTCACATAGCCATTGAAGAGGAGTGGGACGACATTCCACAGGCCACAATCAACAGCCTGATCAACTCTATGCGAAGGTGATGTGTCGTGCTGCATGAGGCAAATGGTGGTCACACCAGATACTGACTGGTTTTAATGTACAGTATCTGAGACCAACAGATGCATAATATATTATTAAAAAGGTTCAAAATATGACCCCTCCCATCACAAAAAGTTTATTGTTTGAAGCGTTACACAGGCAGCCCAGCTTTCGAGTATAAGCTGTGACACTGTTGCGAAAATATATACATCATGTCACAGAACCTTTGCCAGAGGGGTTCCTCAAGGAACCTTTGTGACCTAGAAAGGTTCCCCCAGTGTGGCAAATTTTGTGGCAAGTAGTGTAACACAATTAGCTTGATGTCTATACATTTTGTTTTTAAATCCTACAGTGGTTTTAAAACCATTTAATGTACAGACTTTTAAGTTCAACACCATCTTCACGGTGAATGTTACCCAACCCTGAGGTCAGTACAGTATGCAATAATTTCAAAATATGATTGGCTGCCGTGAGACTGATTAGTTTTCCTTCTTTATCAGGAAGAGGTCAGAGGTGTGTATATGTGTGTGTGTCTGCTGGGATAAATGCTATAATGCTCTCTCTACAAATTGAGATAGTCACTACTATGTTCCTGACCAATTTAACGTTGGTCATTGTTTATAGATAGCAGGCGTATGAATGGGGACATAGTGGATTATAACGCCATGCCATTACAGGCTACAGTTAGCCGGCCGTTAACCAATGCTGACATCAGGAGATTAGTCCAGACCGGACTAATTCACCCTACAGCAGGCCTGTGTTTTCAGTGGTTGTTTTGAATGATCTGTGGTGTACACATACAGACACTGCCCAGCCAAGGTAATGCATACTGTATCTGCTGTCACTGTGTCAACTCAAATGAAATGCTCTCAACGAGTCCATTCCACACACACACACACACACACACACACACACACACACACAGATCTCACCAGCAGTTTCCCAGATATGACTTGCAGTTGCAGCCAGAGGATGGCTGTAATAAAATGACAGTAATAATTTGGTTGTCACCACGTTTCTATCCAACCATTTCATGCAGATGAATTACCTGACTCATGGAAAAAGTCAATACCGGGTTTATGGAAACAGAAAATGCCGGTACAATTTTATAAATGTCGACAGACAATTTGTTCGTTCGACATGGTGGGATGTTTTTGTGTCGGTAAAAGCATGCAGTTTATTAGCATGCAGGTTATTAGGCTACATATTAAGTAAATTATGATTAACTTCACAGGGTGGCGAAGTGAAAGGTGATGAGTTGATGTTCCTTTCCAATAAATATCAAGGGTCTGTTTCTGGCGACATGATGATTGATGCTTGGCTGCCATTTGACAAATAAAAATAATCTAGCTCTTATCCATAATAATTGCATCATTTAGGTAGCCTACCCGCACTGTATCTGTGAGCTGTTGGCTAGAGTGCACATACCAAGACCAGAATACTACACTGAACAAAAATATAAACGCAACATACAACAATTTCAAAGATTTTACTGTTACAGTTCATACAGTATAGGGAAATCAGTCAATTGAAATAAATAAATTAGGCCCTAATCTATGGATTTCACATGACTGGGAATATTGATATGCTTCTGTTGGTCACAGATATCTTTTAAGAAAAAGTAGGGGCATGGATCAGAAAATCTCAGGATCTCGTCATGGTATCTCGCCATCGATAAAATGCAATTGTGTTTGTTGTCCGTAGCTTATGCCTGACTGCCCATACCATAACCCCACTGCCACTATGGGGCACTCTGTTGCCAACATTGACATCAGCAAACTGCTCGCGCACACAATGCCCTACACGCTGTCTGCCGCCTGCCTGGTACAGTTGAAACTGGGATGCATCCATGAAGAGCACACTTCTCCAGCGTGCCAGTGGCCATCGAAGGTGAGCATTTGCCCACTGAAGTTGATTACGAAGCCGAACTAGTCAGGTCAAGAACCTGGTGAGGAGGACGAGAACGCAGATTAGCTTCCCTGAGACGGTTTCTGACCGTTTATTCAGAAAGTCTTCAGTTGTTCAAATCCACAGTTTCATCAGATGTCCGGGTGGCTGGTCTCAGACGATCCCGCAGGTGAAGAAGCCGGATATAGAGGTCCTAGAATGGCGTGGTTACACGTGGTCTGTGGTTGTGAGGCCGGTTGGATGTACTGCCAAATTCTCTAAAATGAAGTTGAAGGCGGCTTATGGTAGAGAAAGTAACATTGAATTCTCTGGCAACAGCTCTGGTGGACATTCCTGCAGTCAGCATGCCAATTGCATGCTCCCTCAAAACTTGAGACATCTGTGGCATTGTGTTGTGTGACAACTGCACATTTTATGGTGGCCTTTTATTGTCCCTAGGACAAGGTCCACCTGTGTAATGATCATGCTGTTTAATCAGCTTCTTGATATTCCACACCTATCAGTTGGATGGATTATCTTGGCAAAGGAGAAATGCTCACTAACAGGGATGTAAAATCTGTGCACATTTGAGAGAAATAACATTGGATCAACACTTACATGTTGGGTTTTATATTTTTGTTCAGTATATATAATTCAACAGTTGTTGTGACAAACGCATCAATAGAGTTGAAAATATGCTGAAAACCCATTTAACTAGTTTTTTTTTTTAAAATCAGGTACATGTTTTGTTTTCTTTGCTGTCATTTTACCCCCTCTTTTTTTGATATCCAATTACGATTTTGTCTCATCGCTGCAACTCCCCAACAGGCTCGGGAGAGGCAAAGGTCGAGTCATACATCTTCTGAAACATGACCGGCCAAGCCGCGCTTCTTAACAATCGCTCGCTTAACGTGGATGCCAGCTGCACCAATGTTTTGGAGGAAACACCGTTCAACTGATGACCGAAGTCAGCTTGTAGGCACCTGGCCCGCCACAAGGAGTCGCTAGAGGGCGATGAGCCAAGTAAAGCCCCCCTAACCCGGACGACACTGGACCAATTGTGCACCGCCCTATGTGACTCCCAGCCTGGGATCGAACCCCAGGCTGTAGTGACTCTGCAACACTGCGATGCAGTGCCTTTGACCGCTGCGCCACTCGGGAGCCACGGTACATGGGAATTTAACCACAAAGGTTATTATTTATGTGCTCTACGTCATCACGCACAGTTTTTTATCTACAATAAGTCAGTCTGATGGAAACATCTTTGGTGGGAAAATGTGCATATTGTTTTATGTAGATGATAGAATATTCACATGAAAAGGGAACTATAGGGAACGAAACAGGGGTGTTATTAAATATTTATATATTATATAATATAATATTATTATATAATATATGTTATTAAACACACTGTGTTATTGTGTGTGAGTGGGAACCTAAATATAGATTTTTCTATTTCCTAGTGAGCTGCTTTTCACATGAAAAATGCGACGTAGAGAAACAAAATATAGATATTTTCTGTCTCTCACGAGTCAGACACATGCTTTTTGGACACGTGTAAAGTTTCACATGGATTTTTCACGTTATTTTTTCACATGTTTATTTTTCATGTTTATTTTCCACATGACTCAGACACGTGGTTTCCCAATACGTGATATTCTAAGTTTCACATGTGTGCTTTTGTAACTGGCGGGATTAGATTAATTACATTCTAAAATACATGTCATTACCATGGTTCATATGTACACATGTACAGTGGGGAAAAAAAGTATTTAGTCAGCTACCAATTGTGCAAGTTCTCCCACTTAAAAAGATGAGAGCGGCCTGTAATTTTCATCATAGGTACACGTCAACTATGACAGACAAAATGAGGAAAAAAAATCCAGAAAATCACATTGTAGGATTTTTAATGAATTTATTTGCAAATTATGGTGGAAAATAAGTATTTGGTCACCTACAAACAAGCAAGATTTCTGGCTCTCACAGACCTGTAACTTCTTCTTTAAGAGGCTCCTCTGTCCTCCACTCGTTACCTGTATTAATGGCACCTGTTTGAACTTGTTATCAGTATAAAAGACACCTGTCCACAACCTCAAACAGTCACACTCCAAACTCCACTATGGCCAAGACTAAAGAGCTGTCAAAGGACACCAGAAACAAAATTGTAGACCTGCACCAGGCTGGGAAGACTGAATCTGCAATAGGTAAGCAGCTTGGTTTGAAGAAATCAACTGTGGGAGCAATTATTAGGAAATGGAAGACATACAAGACCACTGATAATCTCCCTCGATCTGGGGCTCCACGCAAGATCTCACCCCGTGGGGTCAAAATGATCACAAGAACGGTGAGCAAAAATCCCAGAACCAACGGGGGGACCTAGTGAATGACCTGCAGAGAGCTGGGACCAAAGTAACAAAGCCTACCATCAGTAACACACTACGCCGCCAGGGACTCAAATCCTGCAGTGCGAGACGTGTCCCCCTGCTTAAGCCAGTACATGTCCAGGCCCGTCTGAAGTTTGCTAGAGTGCATTTGGATGATCCAGAAGAGGATTGGGAGAATGTCATATGGTCAGATGAAACCAAAATATAACTTTTTGGTAAAAACTCAACTCGTCGTGTTTGGAGGACAAAGAATGCTGAGTTGCATCCAAAGAATACACCATACCTACTGTGAAGCATGGGGGTGGAAACATCATGCTTTGGAGCTGTTTTTCTGCAAAGGGACCAGGACGACTGATCCGTGTAAAGGAAAGAATGAATAGGGCCATGTATCGTGAGATTTTGAGTGAAAACCTCCTTCCATCAGCAAGGGCATTGAAGATGAATCGTGGCTGGGTCTTTCAGCATGACAATGATCCCAAACACACCGCCCGGGCAACGAAGGAGTGGCTTCGTAAGAAGCATTTCAAGGTCCTGGAGTGGCCTAGCCAGTCTCCAGATCTCAACCCCATAGAAAATCTTTGGAGGGAGTTGAAAGTCCGTGTTGCCCAGCGACAGCCCCAAAACATCACTGCTCTAGAGGAGATCTGCATGGAGGAATGGGCCAAAATACCAGCAACAGTGTGTGAAAACCTTGTGAAGACTTACAGAAAATGTTTGACCTGTGTCATTGCCAACAAAGGGTATATAACAAAGTATTGAGAAACTTTTGTTATTGACCAAATACTTATTTTCCACCATAATTTGCAAATAAATTCATTAAAAATTCTACAATGTGATTTTCTGGAATTTTTTTCCTCATTTTGCCTGTCATAGTTGGCGTGTACCTATGATGAAAATTGCAGGCCTCTCTCATCTTTTTAAGTGGGAGAACTTGCACAATTGGTGGCTGACTAAATACTTTTTTTCCCCACTGTAAATACACTCATTCAAAAGTAAGTTAGCTAGCTAGCTACTTAGATTGGCTACACTCATGTAAATGACAAAATCTCACTAGTTTTCACACTGTCAAAACAAAAAAATAATACACCTCAGGAAAACATGTTATTCTCCTCACATGAGAAAAGGTGGTATTAACATGTGAACTCTAAATGTAATACATGTGAAAATATGGTTTTATATGTGAAATTTAAGATCAACAGTGAAACTGCAAATTTCACACTTTTTTTTTGTAAGGGCATGAGTTTACTTTAGCATATGCTAACAATTACAAGATGCCTTGATGGAGAAACAGTGAAATTATGGGTAATTGACATAAAATATGACAGTGTTTTAGGCTTTCTGAACAAAGCGCCATGTATTACTGCGGATCAGCCCCATAATGTGTCTGATTAATGAAAGATTGGGCTGGCTCTCAACTGATTCTGTGAAAAATGAATTCTGTATTGTCTTTCCCGACAAGCCAGCAACCGTGTCCGGAAAAGACTATTAGCTGGAATCATTATCTATAGCCATATTTTCAAACTCTATTATAGCAATCAGGCTACAATTTATTCAATAGATTCAGTTCATTTGGTCGTAATTGATAAATAATCAAAATGTATCAATGTACACGTACACATTTCACTAACACTCAGGGAAAGGTGCCCCATTTACCAGCTGACTTGGTCCAAATTAGGGCTACATTTATGATCAATTAATCTTGGGGAGGGGTATTGCTATGTTTAGTTTAGGGGAGGGGGGGGGGGGGGGGGGGGGGGGGGGCAGCATGTGGTTTAGTAAGTGAAAGTAGTATAATGTGCAAGGTCAAAGGAAAGGGAGTGATCCTACTCAGTCATAATGTGCTGAGGCATTAAATTGCATGGTGTGGCTACAGTATAATAATTACTAGCACATGTTCCTCATTTACAACTACTCACAAACACTACTGACCCAAGTCCTCCACTATATCCTGTGTGTGTGTGTGTGTGTGTGTGTGTGTGTGTGTGTGTGTGTGTGTGTGTGTGTGTGTGTGTGTGTGTGTGTGTCTTTAGTTAATGACAGTAAATATTATATTTTATTTTACCTTTATTTTAGCAGGGAGTACCATTTACACCAAGGCCTGTTTTCCAAGGGAGCCCTGTATCAACGGTAAATGTAATAACACCACTGAAAAAAGTGATTTGTTGGATCAACTTAAATACATTACTTCAAGTGGTAACATGATTTTTTTCAGGTCAAATATATACTTTACATTAAATATAATTATTAGGTCAATCATACTTGTATCATTTGATTACAATCAAATCAATAGTTCTGTCACGCCCTGGCTCTGGGGACTCTAGTATGTTGAGCCAGGGTGTGAGTTTTCATTGGGTTTTGTTCTAGTTTAGTATTTCTATGTTGGCCAGGGTGGCTCCCAATCGGAGACGGCTGTAGCTCGTTGTCTCTGATTGGGAGCCATACTTAGGTAGCCGTTTGGCATTGTTTGGGGTGGGATCTTGTTCCAGTACAGGTTTGTGTTAGAACCGAGGACGTCACGTTATCGTTTGTTGTTTTTGTTCGTGTGTTCATTCTAATAAAAAGAAGTATGTTCGCAAATAACGCTGCGCATTGGTCCACTTCATCCGACGATCGTGACAAGTTCAATACAGTAAAATCTAATTTGACTGCAACTAAACCTACATTATAGTATTTTTCAAAATTGATTTTTTGCTTTACTGAAAACTAAAATACAATGCAATTACAACCTCATAATTAGGTTTAAAGAAAAGCAAATTCTTGGATTGGAGTATGTTAACTGTTTTACATGATTTGGTAACATCTAATTCATTGAAGCTCCTGAAAATCTAAATATTAGGTTGCACTGTAAAATATGACTCTTTGGATCGACCCCTAAAATGTATTCCTCTAAAGGCCCAAATATTGTTTCATGTAAATGCACCCCATGTTTTCATCTTGTTCCGGGTGAAAACATGGGGTTTCTTCATTTTAATCAAGTCCCTGTAAAATTAAGTAAATACTTATCGTCTTGTTCTGAGTTGATTTTTTAAAACTTTTTTTTCACTCAATTATTCAATTGGGTTACAAGCAATTAAATAAAATCCCCTCAAGTCAAGAAATGGCTGTGGTTCAATAACATGAACACATGACTCCAAAGTGATCTTTACATAAAACGTTTACATTTATTGGCCAATATATTGTAGTCAAATGGTGACTTCTTAACAATACAAGCCTTAACCAGGCATCTTTATTTATATATTTTTATAATGTATATATATATACAGTGGGGAGAACAAGTATTTGATATTCTGCCGATTTTGCAGGTTTTACTACTTACAAAACATGTAGAGGTCTGTAATGTTTATCATAGGTACACTTCAACTGTGAGAGACGGAATCTAAAACAAAAATCCAGAAAATCACATTGCATGATTTTTAAGTAATTTATTTGCATTTTATTGCATGACATAAGTTTTTGATACATCAGAAAAGCAGAACTTAATATTTGGTACAGAAACCTTTGTTTGCAATTACAGAGATCATACGTTTCCTGTAGGTCTTGACCAGGTTTGCACACACTGCAGCAGGGATTTTGGCCCACTCCTCCATACAGACCTTCTCCAGATCCTTCAGGTTTCGGGGCTGTCGCTGGGCAATACGGACTTTCAGCTCCCTCCAAAGATGTTCTATTGGGATCAGGTCTGGAGACTGGCTACGCCACTCCAGGACCTTGAGATGCTTCTTACGGAGCCACTCCTTAGTTGCCCTGGCTGTGTGTTTCGGGTCGTTGTCATGCTGGAAGACCCAGCCATGACCCATCTTCAATGCTCTTACTGAGGGAAGGAGGTTGTTGGCCAAGATCTCGCGATACATGGCCCCATCCATCATCCCCTCAATACGGTGCAGTCGTCCTGTCCCCTTTGCAGAAAAGCATCCCCAAAGAATGATGTTTCCACCTCCATGCTTCACGGTTGGGATGGTGTTCTTGGGGTTGTAGTCATCCTTCTTCTTCTTCCAAACACGGCGAGTGGAGTTTAGACCAAAAAGCTCTATTTTTGTCTCATCAGACCACATGACCTTCAGATGGTCATTGGCAAACTTCAGATGGGCCTGGACATGCGCTGGCTTGAGACTGTGGTCCCAGCTCTCTTCAGGTCATTGACCAGGTCCTGCCGTGTAGTTCTGGGCTGATCCCTCACCTTCCTCATGATCATTGATGCCCCACAAGGTGAGATCGTGCATGGAGCCCCAGACCGAGGGTGATTGACCGTCATCTTAAACTTCTTCCATTTTCTAATAATTGCGCCAACAGTTGTTGCCTTCTCACCAAGCTGCTTGCCTATTGTCCTGTAGCCCATCCCAGCCTTGTGCAGGTCTACAATTTTATCCCTGATGTCCTTACACAGCTCTCTGGTCTTGGCCATTGTGGAGAGGTTGGAGTCTGTTTGATTGAGTGTGTGGACAGGTGTCTTTTATACAGGTAGCGAGTTCAAACAGGTGCAGTTAATACAGGTAATGAGTGGAGAACAGGAGGGCTTCTTAAAGAAAAACTAACAGGTCTGTGAGAGCCGGAATCCTTACTGGTTGGTAGGTGATCAAATACTTATGTCATGCAATAAAATGCAAATTAATTACTTAAAAATCATACAATGTGATTTTCTGGATTTATGTTTTAGATTCCGTCTCTCACAGTTGAAGTGTACCTATGATAAAAATTACAGACCTCTACATGCTTTGTAAGTAGGAAAACCTGCAAAATCGGCAGTGTATCAAATACTTGTTCTCCCCACTGTATATTCATCCCCCTTGGCATTTTTCCTATTTTGTTGCATTAAAACCTGTAATTTAAATTGATTTTTATTTGGATTTTATGTAATGGACATACACAAGACAGTCCAAATTGGTGAAGTTAAATGAAAAAAATAACTTTATACAAAATAAATAATGGAAAAGTGGTGTACAGTGGGGAAAAAAAGTATTTAGTCAGCCACCAATTGTGCAAGTTCTCCCACTTAAAAAGATGAGAGAGGCCTGCAATTTTCATCATAGGTACACGCCAACTATGACAGGCAAAATGAGGAAAAAAATTCCAGAAAATCACATTGTAGAATTTTTAATGAATTTATTTGCAAATTATGGTGGAAAATAAGTATTTGGTCAATAACAAAAGTTTCTCAATACTTTGTTATATACCCTTTGTTGGCAATGACACAGGTCAAACATTTTCTGTAAGTCTTCACAAGGTTTTCACACACTGTTGCTGGTATTTTGGCCCATTCCTCCATGCAGATCTCCTCTAGAGCAGTGATGTTTTGGGGCTGTCGCTGGGCAACACGGACTTTCAACTCCCTCCAAAGATTTTCTATGGGGTTGAGATCTGGAGACTGGCTAGGCCACTCCAGGACCTTGAAATGCTTCTTACGAAGCCACTCCTTCGTTGCCCGGGCGGTGTGTTTGGGATCATTGTCATGCTGAAAGACTCAGCCACGATTCATCTTCAATGCCCTTGCTGATGGAAGGAGGTTTTCACTCAAAATCTCACGATACATGGCCCTATTCATTCTTTCCTTTACACGGATCAGTCGTCCTGGTCCCTTTGCAGAAAAACAGCTCCAAAGCATGATGTTTCCACCCCCATGCTTCACAGTAGGTATGGTGTATTCTTTGGATGCAACTCAGCATTCTTTGTCCTCCAAACACGACGAGTTGAGTTTTTACCAAAAAGTTATATTTTGGTTTCATCTGACCATATGACATTCTCCCAATCCTCTTCTGGATCATCCAAATGCACTCTAGCAAACTTCAGACGGGCCTGGACATGTACTGGCTTAAGCAGGGGGACACGTCTCGCACTGCAGGATTTGAGTCCCTGGCGGCGTAGTGTGTTACTGATGGTAGGCTTTGTTACTTTGGTCCCAGCTCTCTGCAGGTCATTCACTAGGTCCCCCCGTGTGGTTCTGGGATTTTTGCTCACCGTTCTTGTGATCATTTTGACCCCACGGGGTGAGATCTTGCGTGGAGCCCCAGATCGAGGGAGATTATCAGTGGTCTTGTATGTCTTCCATTTCCTAATAATTGCTCCCACAGTTGATTTCTTCAACCCAAGCTGCTTACCAATTGCAGATTCAGTCTTCCCAGCCTGGTGCAGGTCTACAATTTTGTTTCTGGTGTCCTTTGACAGCTCTTTAGTCTTGGCCATAGTGGAGTTTGGAGTGTGACTGTTTGAGGTTGTGGACAGGTGTCTTTTATACTGATAACAAGTTCAAACAGGTGCCATTAATACAGGTAACGAGTGGAGGACAGAGGAGCCTCTTAAAGAAGAAGTTACAGGTCTGTGAGAGCCAGAAATCTTGCTTGTTTGTAAGTGACCAAATACTTATTTTCCACCATAATTTGCAAATAAATTCATAAAAAATCCTACAATGTGATTTTCTGGATTTTTTTTCCTCATTTTGTCTGTCATAGTTGACGTGTACCTATGATGAAAATTACAGGCCGCTCTCATCTTTTTAAGTGGGAGAACTTGCACAATTGGTAGCTGACTAAATACTTTTTTCCCCCACTGTATATGTATTCACCCCCTTTGCTATGAAGCCCCTAAATAAGATCTGGTGCAACCAATTACCTTTAGAAGTTACATAATTAGTTAAATAAAGTCCACCTGTACGCAATCTAAGGAGAAGTACAGATCAGGGTTGGGTTATAAAAAAATATAATTTTTGCCAAGAGAGGGCCGCCCACCAAAACTCATGGACCAGGCAAGGAGGGCATTAAGAGACCAAAGATAACCCTGAAGGAGCTGCAAAGCTCTACAGTGGAGATTGGAGTATCTGTCCATAGGACCACTTTAAGCCGTACACTCCACAGAGCTAGGCTTTACAGAAGAGTGGCCAGAAAAAAGCCAATGCTTAAAGAAAAAAATGAGCAAACACGTTTGGTGTTCACCAAAAGGTATGTGGGAGACTCCCCAAACATATGGAAGAAGGTACTCTGGTCAGACGAGACTAAAATTTAGCTATGGAAAACGCTATGTCTGGCACAAACCCAACACATCTCATCACCCTGAGAACACCATCCCCACAGTGAAACAGCATCATGCTGTGAGGATGTTTTTCATCGGCAGGGACTGGGAAACTGGTCAAATTTTAAGGAA